GTCACATTGTTAATTTATAGAGTTGAATTTTTAACATCAAAAGAACACAGAGCAGAGGTCAACATCCCACCCAACCGTAAATAAACGGAAAAAACAGTTAATCACAAAATACAGAAAATGTTAATTAACAGATATTTTTTAACTATAAATGTATTTTTAATATAAATGTATTTGCATTTACATTTACAAAATAGAGCTATTCAAGTTATTTGGCGAAATATGGCAGTATAAATCACAGAAAATAAAATATTACAATGGAATTTTTTTCCAATATTGCGAAGCCCTAGTCTGTGATATATTTCATATGTAGTAGAATGCTTTTTAATCAGGCATACAGTTTATGACACATTTTTTTTCGAATGTTATTGTTTTTCAGGACTAGGCCTGCACAGTATTGGAAAAATCAAGCATATATATGAATTTATGCTTTTATTCTAGCCGAAATAAAACAAATAAGACTTTCTGCAGAAGAAAAAATATTATCAGACATACTGTGAAAATTTCCTTGCTCTGTCAAACATCATTTGGGAAATATTTAAAAAAAGAAAACAAAATTCAAAGGGGTGCTAATAATTGTGACTTTAACTGTTATATATATATATATATATATATATATATATATATATATATATATATAGAGAGAGAGAGAGAGAGAGAGAGAGAGAGAGAGAGAGAGAACATTGTATACAGCATTTATATATATATATATATATATATATATATATATATATATATATATATATATATATATATATATATATATAAATTACAATATGAATACAATTTCACTTGATGACGTAATATTTCAATTTCGAAAGAATTTCTAATGTTAGATTCTGTAGTGGGAGTTCATCTTCCTTAAATCTACTAAACTATCGATGAACACAATAAAAAAGGTACAATTGCAATAAACAGTGTTTTATCGTTTTATAAGTCTAACAGTATTCAGGTACAGTAACTGAATAGCAAATAATAAAACAATTGAATAAAATTAATCGTTATTAAAGTTACAAACAGAACAATTTCTTATCCCTGAATCCTTTTAAAATAATTGTACAATCACAGGCCTTAAAAACAAATGATAAATTATAATACAAACATTGCAAATCTTATTGGGACACTGACATTGTGATATCGATGCTGAAACATATTGTTCAGCCATATTCAGTATATTCAAATAAAGAGTTTAGTTTTTATACTGATGATAAAAAAATAACGTATGTGTTCTATTATTACTATAATGATCAATGGCTTCAGGCCACATGACTGTAAATATTTGTTGGTAACATGCTGACATTTCCAAACACACGACCACAAGCTTGATTCAACGTCCTGTGCATCTGGAAACCAACTGCAAGTTCAGCACAACGCTGTTTCGCTGGCACTGAGAGCTCATCACAGACAAGCCAATGTGAGATGAAGGTCAAGAATGCGTTTACAAATTCAACAGTCATCGCTGTTAACAAAGAAGTCAAAAATTTGGAATCTGTGTTTCTAAATTTGTGTTTCCTAAAGGGATAGTTCATCCAAAACTGAAAAGTTTGTCAATGTCACCCCTTCACTTTCAAGTTTCAAATCTGTTGTTGAACACAAAAGAAGATAATTTGAAGAAAGCTAAAAAAAAAACTGTAACCATTGAATTTTATAGTATTAGTTTTTCCTTCTATGAAAATGAATGGTTACACAGGTTTTCAGCATTCTTTAAAATATCTCCCTTTGTGTTTAACAAAATAAAGAAACTCTTTTTAACCTCTTTATTACACTGGCCACATTGATTAAAAATGCAAAGATCAGTGGTGTCCAGACCAGCTCCTCTAGTGCCACTGACTCAGATGGTTTACTTTAACTCTATTTAAACTTAAACCAGCTAATCAAAGTCTTTCAAGTGTTTTGAAGCTTATTGCAGCTAAACTCTGTAGGACGTTGGTTCCCCAGGAGCAGAATGTGTCACTTGAAACATGGAGTGATGAGCAGAATTTTTTTTTTTGTCAGACACTGAGTTAAAGTCAAAGAGTAGCTTTATCTAAAATCGCCCTTATACTCTCATTTGTTTTTCCCACATTAGTCCACTAAAATAGTCATCTTAAAAAGAGTAATTGACAACTAGTGAGTGAAGTCGAGCACTGAGTGCACTAAAGGGATGCCAAATTTGTTTGGGTTTTGCTAGTTGATTAATTCCTCAGATGGATTAGATCTTTAACTTCTCGGTCAGGCCCTGTTATAACACTTCTATTTAACACTTAGCGAACTGTCTATTAGTAATGAAACAAAAGTATTCTTGTGATTTATACAAACGGTAACTTAACAATTTAATATTAATTAATTAAAAAAATTACACTGATAGGATTTCGCTTGTGGTCAGATGTGAAAATTCTTTTGGAGCACAAACTCAATGCATTATGGGTGTACTCTTGCCTTTCAGAGTCTATTAAGGTTGATTAATACTTCTGCATCAAGTGATCGGCGTGACCCATGTTGCCTACCTTGCGCATAGTCGTGCGTTATACTTCTGCATGCTGTTTGTGTTGCTCTGCAATAACACTTCCAAAACATTAGCTGGCAGTTTTTATGTTTCTCTGTGTCGTGTTTTTATGCGGGTGTTTTAATTTTACTGAACGCTACTTTATGTACAAGTAGCTAAACTTGTGGATTCAGAGGGGGGAAACATTGGATGTTCAACATTATTAATCATAAGGTAAACACAAAACAACAGTTTCCATCTAGAGCTACTTCACGGGACTTGACACTTGTAAACACTCGCTCCATCGGGCTCGAGCGGCTCTGTCCCCACCCACACTGGTCACAGCTACCAAGCCGACCAATCACAGAGCTTGCGCTATGCGTCGTTGCGACATGCAGTTACATCTATTTTTTGCGAGGTGCACATCAGCCTCTGTGAGGGGTATACTGTACACCCGCGCAAAGTCTGTGCCAGAGGATACACGTGCACTTGAAGCAGAAGTATAAATCAGCCTTTAGTTGTACAGTCATTATTGCAGTGCATTGTGGGATTGCTTAAATGCACTTCAGAACATCCATTATGGTTTTGGACAATACTAAAAATGGCTGCTCTCTCAAATAGTGCACTATTTAAGTGTGTATGGGGCAGATACAGCCAGGATCTGGCCTGTCCTTGGAACTTTTTTTTAAATCTAGGTGGATTCTGATTGTGTGTGTTCATATTTGATCAGCTGTGGTTTGTATTGTAAAACTCAAGATGTGGACTCTATTCTTACATATTTAGAATGATTATTAATATTTGTAATTCTCATTAAAGATGTGAATGGATTTAAAATGGTAGTTTCTGTCATCATTTATAATCTACACTTGTTCCAATTCTGCTTGAGGATATTTTTTTGGCCTCCACAGTACTTTTTCACTACTATGGGTGTCAATGGCTGTTAGGATACAAATTTCCTTAAAAATACCTTCTTTTGTGTTCAACAGAAACAATTAACCCAAAAAGGTTTGGAACCACTTCTGTGCCTTTAATGGTTTAGAATCCAGATCATCTGCAGGTTTCATCTGTTGTGATTTGTTCACATGAATGTTTAAAACCCACAAAGCAACAAATATATAGATGCACACATGCACCGTATTGCTGTGGTCAGTGTAGTCATGAAAAGTGTGTGTGTGTGAGAGGGCTACAGTCCACTCTTTGAGTCCAGGTTGGGCCATTTTCCTGTGGGTTATTTTCAGTGGCCAGAGCAGGAAATGTCTGTAGAGAAGAGAGCTGAGCCACTGGAAAATAACCTTTCCCTCTCTCTCTGTTTCTCCCACACTCGTTTCTCTCATTCTCTGAATTTTCTACTGAGATCTTCTGGCTCACAGTCATGAGCTCAATTCAACATTACGACATTTCATAACACAGAAGCAAAAATCATGTCATGTCAGTAAAACCATGATTCATCTTAGTCTGATTGCAAATACAGCAACTGCTGACTGTAATGCTGACCTCATTATAAAGGATCTGTTTTTGTAATGTTTTGTTGAAGATATTTAAAGATTTGATGCATAAGCAAAGTTTATTTTGATGACAAAAATGACTCTTAATATGAAAGGTTCTTTATGCATATTAATGGTTATGGATGTAATAATTATAAATAATTGTAACAATAATAATTGTATTGTATTGTATAATTAGTCATAAAATTTTTTTTAAAAAATCATATGACTTTATCTTTTAAAGTGTTTTGCTAAATTGTGACCTTTTAAATTTGCAGAGAGACAAACCAGTGTTTTGTTTTGTTTTTTGTTTTTTTTGCATCAGAGATGCGTCATGTTGCTCAGAGTTGATTGGATGAATCTCATAAAAATGATAATTTATACTGGCAGGTGCTACTGCTAACTTGCACAATTTCATGAAGCTTTAAAATTTACGAATCTTGTTGTCCACCTTGTCACATTTCAAGGGATCTTACTTGGCTGAAATCTCTTGCACTTGCCCTTACTTGAACCCACATACAAAACAACATCCACTAGCAACAGTGTAAAAGTAGCACGATTCTGTTGACAATCCACATAGCTGGCAAGACTGATCTTAGACTGCTAAACTCGGATGCCCACATAATAACACACAAGCTTAGCAAACCTTTGTAAAATATTTAAATTGTTTTCTTACTTTTAGATATCCTTTTAAACTGGTGCTGTTGTATTCTGCCAAGCTGAAATACCTTAAGCAAGTAAAATAATGATCGCACCAAGAATTACTCAATCTATTCTCCACATATCAAATACTGTGCCTCATATTTTTCTACCCTATTATAAATACACTTTTTCAGACAAACCATTACATTATATTATTCTACTAGCAAAACATCTAAATGTTTAACTAAAGACATTTTTTACTATGGCATTGTTAACCCTAAGTACTTCTGTTTGTACTTGGCACATAAGACTGAGCACATTCCTAAATCCAGAACCTAATAAACAATACAGTTGTAATTCAGTATGGGTGTATGAAAGATGACATTAAACATGAACAGTATATACAAACTGACCTGTTTGCCTCACATGGCTCCTGCACTTCATACACGTCTGTGTCAGCATCTTGGTTAGAATACACCCACGGCAGGTTCATGTATTCTGGGATCTCCTCATATAATGGGACGTTCTCATATTCCACTCCACAGTCTGCCTCGCTGTCACCTTGAGCCTCTTCATCATCGCCAGATGTGACTTGATTAGCAGGTACGGCTTTATGCTCCTCATATTCCGAATCAGTGCGAGTGCAATCCAAGGACTGTCCACTGCGGAGCAACTTCGGCAGCAACCGTGCACAAACACGCAGCTCTAGCAGTTTCCGCAGGCTTCTTCGTGTTTGATCTGACCGAGCCAACTGCTCAGAGGCTTCCGATCCATTGTCAACTCTCTGAAGATCTGCAGAAGAAAATGACTTTGCTCTTTGTTTGACAAAAACCGATCCCACAACTCCGGCTTGTGGTTGGCTGTTACTACGGGTCGGCTGGTTTCTACTGAAGAGTGGGATGCTAGGGAGGGCAACTCTCCATGAAGGTTTCTCTTGAGGAGGTGCCGGAAGTTCTCCGAATACTGGAGGATTGGAGTTGGGAAGTGGAGGAGGTGTGCCTTGCTTTCGCAATGCAACAGATGCGGGAAGACTGTTTCGTTGTGGCTTTTTAGGCATGACTTTTGGTGACTTTTCATCTCCATCAATATATGGCTTGGTGATAGCTATGACTTGAGATCCACAGCTAAGCTTGATTTGTTTCGGAAGACTCCGAGTTATTGGGTAGCGAGCAAAATCTCCATATGCCCCATCATCTTCATCATCACTTTCTGCATCTTCATCATTACTCGTAACCTCTTGAAGATCTGACTGGCAATGCAAGAGCAAGTTGTCCACTGATGTTGAGGCCTTGCACAATGAATCGACCATTTGTGGGAGGGATTTCTGCCGAGGTGGCGGAGCTGGAGGTTGCGACCCATCCTCCACAGCTGTGTCCATGGAAGCTAAAGTTGCACCATTTGTTGGAACAGAATAATGGGTGGAGTCTAAATCAGAAGGCATGTCTTCAGTTTGTGCATTGTAAAAGGAGTCTACCTTGTGCAAAGGATCACTTTTGGTTGAGGAGTCAGTGTCTGTGTTTTCAATGTCCTCTTTAGGACAACATGCATTTTGTAATGTGCTTGTGTGGGAGTGGCAGGTTGTGTTTTTGGGAGTTTCTTGTAATCCGTCTGATTGAGCATTTTCAGGAGTCTCTGTTGGTATATCTGCTTGAGTGTCCGAAGGTGCAATTTCCACAACATTCTGCCTTAGAAGTGCCCTCCGAGGGCGTCGTGGATGAGGTACAGGGAGAGGCTTGCTGGGTGGTGCAGGGACACCAACACTGTCACTAGTACAGGAGCTAAAAACATTGCCAGTCTCTTTAACCTCTGATGAACGTTCCTGTAGGGGTTCTGTAGGACAGTGTCTTGGGATATGGTCAGAAGTTAGTACTTGCGTACTTGTCTGGTCCTTTTCTACTGAGGGAGAGTTTGTTTCATCTTGGGCCTCAGTGGACATTTGGGTTGAGTCTGTGGGCACTTGTTCCTGCACATGTTCAGATCGGGCAGTATGTTCCCATGTGTCATTGGAAAACAAATGTTCTTTTGGGCTGTCGCCTTCTTTGAAAACACCGACTTCTGTTGTTAGGGTTGCTTCTCTAGATATTTCCTTAGAATCATTTGATTTGTTATTAGCAAGATGACAAACTTTATTACAGGGCGGTATAATGTAATGAGACAGGTTTGAGGATAGTAGAGCAGGACCCCCATTTTTGGAGACAGGGGGGTGCTGATTCTTGCAATGATCTTGCCTTGCCTGAACAGGTTTCTGAGGGGCTTTGAGGAGACATGGCTTGGGGGCAACAGCAGGTTTGCCTCTCTTGTGTGCAGTGGGTGAGGGTGAAGGCAGTAGGATCTCTGGTTTTGGGGCAATAGGGGGAGGTGATGGTTTATGCAATGGAACCAGCTTGGGTTTGGGGGCAACTGGTGGTTTCTTCATTCCTAAATGAACTCACAAAAAAAGAAACAACTACATGAATTCCAAGAATAGTCTTGTACACCACATACACACATGACAGAATTGCAGTTCTGAGATATCCATACATATGCATTAACCAAACTAGTTTTATTTTAGTTTCCCTACTTTTATGGTTGTGTGAGATCCTGCGAGATTTTAATGGGCTGTTAGGTCTGTTACAAGAATCCAGAATAGCACCTTCTAGTACAGCTCATGAAGTGTTATTGGCTTAAAATATTATTTACAAATTTAATTTCACAAGGGTCATTATTTTCAGACCGTCAAAGTAAATCATCATTCACATTTCAGAACTTCTCCTTGATCATCTCTTACAAACAAATCCCAAGCTACATATATGCAAATATAAATTAACTTTAGACATTAATCTATTTCTTTTACATTTACACAACAGCATTTTCAACTAAAAACAGAAAACTTATGGATTTGGAGGTTTATTTTGGGAGTCAACTCTTGAAAAATATAGAACTAGTATCTATTGGCTTGGTATTGCATAATTTCAGGTGTGCATATATTTGTAACCTCTTTACAGAAGCATGTATATGAAGACTAGAATACATGTGACCACTTATTGTACATATGCAAAACATTTAATAATACAGGAGGCAAACCTTTCATTCTCAACCTATGGTTGTGTGAGATTTCAATGAGTCAAATCAGGTCAGTTACAAGAATTCAGAAAAGTACATTCCAGTAAAGCTCATAACACAGCGTTAAATATTCTTTACAAATCTAATTTCACAAGGGTCATTATGTTTAGACCATCAAAGTAAATCATAATTCACCTTTCAGAACTTTTCCTTAATCCACTCTTACATACTCCCAAAAGAGGCCACATATATGCAAAAATGTATTTATTGCCTTGTTACATTTACATATATAAATAAATGTATAAATTACAGTAGCAGATATTGAATATAGACAGTATTAACAACCTTAAAACAAAGATGTTGTTTACTTATGTCCTTAAGACCTTTACCTTTTGTGAGTAGTTTTTAATCAAAAAAATTTTATTTTTCTTTATACTTTAAAAATAATAATAATTTATGCCTACATTAATTACACACTTAGGAAAACAATGAAAAATAAATATTCTATCCATTATCTTTCCTACAACATCTAGCAACCTCAGTTACAGCCATTAAAAATAATCAATTCTGCATCAGAAGAGTGATGGATACTTATAAGTTAGCTATTACGTTTATTGTTTTTAATTTGTTTGTTTTAAAACAAACTAACATGATAACTCAACATAATGCAATTTTCTGACCTTTCTTCCACTAAACGTTTGACTGAAGAAGAAAATAACTTTCTACACTTCACTGAAATCACTTAGACAGCACTCTCGGTGGAAAAAAAAGCTTAGATTTGTTGATGCTCTCTTGAGGAAATGTGGTCTTCCCATTCCGAGGGAAGCAATCCAAGACTAATCCCGGAGGCGCCCTCCTCCGCTCATTCTTCTCTCTGATCCGGAGCTCGTGCTTTTCGGCCGGACGGAGCGTCTTTGGGGCCCGTGTTTGAGCTCCGGGTCAGCGGACAGAGATCGAGCTGAAGCAGCAGCACGAGAGACCGAGTCACCAGGCTAATGTTCTGGGATTGAGTTCCTTACAACAGTGGAAAGAAAATCACGGGACTTTTCGTTTATTGTTATCTTTAGCCGCACTCTCCATAGAGTCCATATCGAATGAAGAGAACAAAGAAAAAGTAAATGTTTGTCCTAAATGTTTGTGTGCGCGCAAGAAGCTAAGAAAATAAAACAAAGTTGAAACAAAAGATAGTAGACACAGTATCCTGTGTGGTATGCTTGGGAAAATCCTGAATGAGTCTGTAAACACAAAATCCCCTCAGCCAGGCTTTGCTCTGAAAAACATTCCAAAACATTATCATCTCTTACCTTCTTCATCCACAGATTTATTCTTGGGCAAATCGTCCCGTTAGCACAAGATTAGCCTCTGAAAGAGACTTTAGAAACTCTGAAGCTGCTACTTCATTAAAGTTCCACCGGTTGCAACACTTGGAAATATTATAAGGAACCCGTTAAATGTTGCAACATTTTACCAAATATGCCCCACATTTCTGACTTCCCTACACAGACTGCTTGTAGAGAGAAGAAGCTGATGGTTATTCATCCAGGAAACTAACCTGTACTCATGGTCCCCAAACGAGTCCTTTAGTCCATGAATGAGCTGCATTCAGCACAGATCCTTTACATTCCGCTCTTTTTTCCTAGCTGGAGCCATCGCGAGTCCTAAAAGGAAAGGCAACTCGATATCTTCAAAATATCCTCCAAACTTGTTGTATTTCTAGAAGCGTGGAATGAGTTCCGTGCTTTCCATTATTTTTACCACCGCTTTGTAAAGCTGGAACGGCGAAGCCCAGTCAAAGAGTTCAATAAAACGTCCAGAGTCCACCGCTAGAGGCACCGCCGCCGTGATGTTAGATTGCTTGCGAGTGGAATCGGTTCAATGAACAAAGCGATTCAGTGAATCATTTCAAAAACGAATCCCTTATATGTCTCAGCCATTTAAGTTTACATAAATAAGTACAAAAATAAAAACTAGACTGATTATGGAATTTTAATAATAGCTTTTTAAGATGTGATATTCGAAATAATAATTTATATACTTAAATAAAAGTGATCCTTCTAAACAAATTAGTTCGTTTCAACTTTACCTGCTAACTATGTAAGTTATAGATATTTGTCCACCTTTATTTTCAGTTATAAACAGCTAAGTTATTAACATGTCATATCCAGTTTAAGAAAAAGCAATTCCAGGATGTAAAAGCAATTACATCGAAACGAACCGATTCAAAAGAACAGTTCATTTGAGAGTTTAAACATCACTGTAAAGCACTACGGCGCCTCATGATAAATAAATAAACAAATAAATGTTTCTAATGCTGTTTATGAATAAGAAAGAAGTTGTTATGAAACCTCTTATAGTCAAACATGTAAACATTAAATATGAAATTAAATAAAATATTAATTTAATAAATATTAATAATTTAAAATTACATTTAAGTTAAGTTAAATAGGCTATTTAGCTTTATTCACTGCAAATGTTTTAGACAGAAACTTCTGTTTGCACAACGGATATTTGATAATAAAACAAATCAAACTAAACAGATGTCATATTAAATAGTTTTAAATGAAAAAATAATAATAATACTACTACTAATACTAATGATAATATTTATATCAATACGTTATAAAAGACTAATAATAAATAAATAAATAAATAAATAAATAAGACACAGACATCACACGCAAGACAAAAACTCACACTTAGACATTCTAAAGTAAATTAATAAAATTTATGTAAAACAAGTGTGTTTTAAAACACGACATTTTGTGAAATAACATTTTCGTCAAACCTCTTTTTTTTACCACGCAGTGAAACTGTTACACTGTCCCACTGTACCCATAACACTCCAGTAGATGTCGGTACGTCCACTCTTCGCAAAGCTCCTAGTCAAAAAAAGAAGAAGAAGAACTGTGAATCATGGGAAGTGTAGTTCAAGTCATGGCGTGTCTCTGCGCATTCAGCAGAAGCTGTTCAGATCCCTCCTGTAATTCAAAACGACCACCATCCCAGCATGCGCAACTGATGGACACATATGGCGGAGAGCAATGACTGAGGATTTTGATGAAGAAGTTGTGTTCGAGGTGAGTTTTTCCATATAGAAGCCTGCGTGTACTCGGACATACAGCAGCTGCTAAATATCAGTCATAGCGTTAGAGATGCAGTTAGCAGCTTGCATTTAGCACATAAACACTCCTTCATATATACACCTCTACAATGACTTGTAGCTGCTTATTTACCACGTCGCATTGCAAAGTAAGTTTGCATTTTTTTCATACAATACGACATGACATGAGACATGGTTTCTTACAAATTGGGTGAGTGCTAAATAGACTACAATTTAGGCATCATAGGCGCATCAAGCACTAGGTTGTAATGCCTAAATTGTTGCCTAGGTAGGCAGCTTACTAGGATTTGATGTTGTGATCCCTATACATGTAATGTATATTGTCAATTTAATCACCATAACAATAAAAGAGGATAGTATCCAAATAGTTTTTGGGTCTAAAATACTATTTACACTACAGTGAAACTGTTTTGTGATAAACAACATAAAAAACAAAGACCTTAAGACTAGTTTTACTACAATAAAACAATAGTTAAGAGTGAAGGAGTATTTTAAGTTAAACTATGAATAGCACAACCATGATTATTTTGTGGTAACTTTTAAAATGATTATTATTTGTAGTTAATCCATGGTTAAATTTTGTAATTTTGGCATTTTAGACTCAAATCACTGGGCTGCCTTTTCTTGACAGCATTTTGCACGTACTGTAGGTGTAGCAGCAGCAATGGTGACTGAACAACCACGTTTTGGAATCAGTCTGCCTATAATTGCTCAGTATTCAGAGCTGAAACCCCTTCTTTACTTTCAGCATTGGAACATATAGAAAATGTCTAGCAAAAGAATAATTTTTTGTCTCCAAAGCATGCCTCCAAGTGACGGAATCTTCAAAAATGATCATCCTTTTAACTAAAGTTCACCATCTACAAAACCAGTCTTATCATATAATTTTTTGCTGGGTTTGTTTACATTTTAAACTAGTGACAAGAATAGTGAGATGCATTGCAAATTAATAAACTGTATGAAATACAACCTGAAGTATCGAACAAAATTTTAAGACTAGATTTGATCAAGTGATTTTTACCAGATGTCGTTTTGGACATACAAGATTAACCTATGTTTTTTTGCTCAAACGTGAAGACCCCACTCAATGTTAATACTGCACAATTTCCCTTACTGTAAAATATTTTACTGGACTGTTCTGCTTTTTATGATTCCAGAAGATTTTTTTTATGAAATGAACTGACATTTTTAGCAAAGTGACATGTAATAGCGCTAAAAATCCCATTTTATTTATGTATTCATTTGTTTGTTGAATTTTAATTGTCTATTTATTATTGAAATGTTCTTGCCATGAAAATGGCCTTGGTTGGTGACGTGGCATTAAATAAAAATGCATGCATAATAACTGTAAATAACATGATAGTCTCAAAACCTACCTTCATTTTAGGACATCTATAGTTTCAAAACATCTACATAGACTGCATTTTCAACCATAAATATACCTAATCGCTTACCAAAATTAAATGTTTCACGACAAATAAAACTAAATATTATCACAAAAAATGTATTTAATGTATGTGTTCATTTGTTTGTTAAATATTAATTGTATATTTATTATTAAATGTTCTTGCCATGAAAATTGCCTTAGATGCTGACATGGTATTAAATAACAAATTACATATAAAATGTGGATGACATAAATGTCCCAAAAACCTACCAAAATTAAATGTTTTATTTAATTGATGGATTCATTTGTTTGTTGAATTCCATAAAATACCTAATCGCTTACCAACATTGAATGTTTTACAATAAATAAACCAAAACATTATTTTATTTAGTTCTTTTTTTGTCTTTACCCCAAATTAAGCATGCTTTTTTTTAGTAAAAGTGTAATGTGATTATATAAATGGTAAATCAATATGTCAAAAAACATGCTTTTTGTAGTTAGATATTTTAAGGGGATTTCTGGCTTAGTTTTTGTGTCTAAATAGCTGTATATTAGGTTTTCATTCAAACTGCGATGAATGAAAATGCTTCCTATAGGTACAGTAGGTGTTTTGAGACTAGACGACTAAAAGGTATCTATTGCAGGCAGCCGGCGAGGATTTTGTGACACAGCTGTGTATATGCAGTCAGTTTCTTTTCATCTGTGGTCTGTTTTATTTTGTTGTCTTTAAATTAAATTATGAGCATCATGCATCAAAGCATGTGTGGCCCTGGTGCACTTTTATGATGCAGGGGATTTCAGATCAACGTCAATGATGCTGCATCATCACCAGGGAAACGGTTGTGTGCATTGATCTAGATTTGATTTAATTCATTTGCCTATTTGTGGCAATGGCTGGAATAAATTACTGGAAAGCAAATGGAATATTTATGAACCCCGTAACAATTTATTTTTCATCAATGTTGGCTTTAAATTAATCTAAAGAAAAATAATGAATGAATTAATAAATTGTTAGTTTTGACATTACTTATTGTTCAGATTTTTAAATCTAATAGTTCTATGCAAATCATAATGTGGCACTATAAAAATATTCTCAAATTAGCAGTTTTTATTTATTTTGCACCATTTTTTAATGCCTTTGAATAGCATCATAGGACTCTAATCCTTTTTTCATCAACCTTTAACCATGAAAATGTAAGAAAAAAATTACTATTATGAACATTTTAATAGTTAAGGTGATGTAAATAGTCAGTAGTTATATATAAAAATACAAAATCCTAGTAGCAAACTGAAAGTACATTTTAGGGCTGCACAATATTATAGTTTCAGCATGGAAATCGCAATAGTCACTTCGCAGATTCCGCAATTTTAAGTTGTTTAGTTTGACAGCAATAAAAATAGCAAAGTTTATCTCCAATCCAGTGAACAAAATTATTTTTTAGGGCATGTATATTTGGGCACAAGAAGTCATCAAATCTGGAGAGTAACAAAGATTTATTGTATTTTTTAACACAATGAAAACTATACTTTTTTTTTTTTTACATTTCATTACATTAGATTGTTAGTTTTGATTTTAACTCAGTAGAATATCCAGAAAACCATAAAGCATTTATTTGCATCTTTGTTTTATTGTAATCATTTATGCTTGTAGTTTGTTTATTATACATTAAAACAAATACATTCCCGACAAAATTTTGTAAAATTGTTAATTCTTTCTTAATATAATTATATAAATCATCTTGTGAAATTACTTAAATATTGCAATATATATTGCAGAGAAACAAATGATTGCAATGTCAGTTTTTTTCCAATATTGTGCATCCCTAATACATTTTCTGTTATTTTACAAACTTATTTCTTTATATATTATTTCTTATACATTTATTTTTTTTAAACTACTCAAATATCATTAAAAGTCACTTTGTTTTGCTGTAACCTGGAAAAGTCCACAGTGCAGTGATCAACCGTAAATAAACGGAAAACACAAAATACAGAAACTGTTAGTTAAAGGTGCTTTATGTAGGTTTTTGACTCTTCTAAAACATAAAAGTACCATAATATGTTTGCAAATATTTCAGAAACATGCTAAATGAACCTTTTTGTTTGAAAAACAATGCTGAAGTCAGTTATTCTGCTTTGAAAAATGTGTGTTCCAGAATGGAATGCTGGCTTTGTTTTTGTTATTTTAACCCCCCGAATGCCACTTTAGTCAATTATCAATATATCTGCACCACTGGTTGCCTTGATAGAAAACAGCATATTTCATTCATTCATTCATTCATTCATTCATTTAGAAAGACTCTCATAGCATGTGCTCATGACCAAAATGTGACGTCCAGTGGAGAGTAGCAGACTTCGAAATGAGAGGCAGATTCAGAGTTCCACATGAGGTTATTAGTTAGCAAATAATATAAACGTTACGAGCGTAAACATTAGGCGAGCAGGTTGCATTGTAACCGCATGTCCTAACAACACAAGATTTGCAGTGATAAGCAATTTGACAGTTTGCACCAGAAGAACCTTGACAGAAATTTAAATACAGCCATTTAGAAGCACAGAATATGCACTTACTCAGGAAATGGTAAGGTTTATAATCTAATTAATATTAATAGTTAATAACATTATTAAATGTACATGCTGAATCAGTATGTGTTGGTTTTGAGTTGCAGTTCTAAATTTAAATTCTGAAGGTTCATTTTATTTTCAAGATCTGAGGTGAACTCTCTACTACTGCTTTAAGTAGTATTGCAATAGATGTTTGTAAAATGGCATCCAAACTCACATTGTTAGTATTTAACGCTGAATAAAGCACATGAGGTGTGCAGTGATCATTGTTAGTTTTTCCTGTTGTTCGGCTGCAAGAAAAAGAAGCCGTTTCTAATATATCAATTTGAGGTGTTTGTCAGAACAAAAACTCTTTTTAATATGGAAAATATTCCTACTATCACATGCCGTTGCTTTTATTTAGAACAAAAATTAAATCAGCCTTAAATCCACCTTTAGGCCAGAGTCTCAGACTTGCTCCTTTTTGTCCTCAATCTGGCAACCCGCACTTGCATTAAGTTTGATTTAGGAATGCAATACCTAGTTTACCCATTGGGTGTCAAACTTGCATACTGCACCTTTAACAGATATGTTTACGGTGTAGAGCTGAAAATTAATACTTAAGACATGAGTAATGACAAGAGAGGAACAATACAACAGCTAATACGAGTCAGGATGTCTCCCCAGGTTACCGTCTAAATGTTTGCACCTTGACAGCTTTTTTAGATCAGAAAATTTTATTAGATCAGAACAATCATCTTTATTACCTGTTTATTTTAGTATGGTCATCATTACATTAATACAATATTTTACAAAAAGCTAATAAAATCAGCTTTTATCTGGTGAAATGTTATATCGCAATAAGTGTCGCTTGTACTCAACAGCAGTATCACATATTTTCCCAGTATTGGGCAGCCCTAGTAGCTGCAGAAATCTAATTTTGTGGATTTCAGATGTTGCCATATGGTGTTGAGCAGGTCCGATTTTTACCATGCTTTTAAAAGGGTCATATCTGCTGTACATCATCATGTTTAATCCAGACTTGAAAATAAAAACAGTGGGATTCAGTATGCTCTCATTCTGTGACCTAAAATCAGGTCCTTTGCCGCAGGCTAGTTTAGCTGCTCTCTCACATCAATAAACGCTCTCCAAACCAATTCCTCTCACCGCAAATCAGCTTTACACTCAAAAAGATCCAAAGTTCATGATGACGGGTGGCAAGATTTGACTGAAATAAGAAGGAGAATTCCAAAGCTCTTGAGCAACTCAAATCCAGTGGCTATGGTAAGAATCTGGGTTGTGCTAATTAATTGTGAACCGCGAGGTTGTGGGATCTACATCTTCTGTTAAGTAATGGTGCGTTTGAGAAGATCCAGGACCAGAGCAAGAGATGTGCGAGAGGTAAGGGAGGGGAAAAAAAGAAAGGAAAAGATGTTGTTTCTGGCATTTCTGTTTGCTGAGAGACTGATCGGAATCATGACCTTTTATTATTATTTGACCTGTTTGATCATCATTATTATATTTGTTTACAATTTTCCTTCATTAAATAATGGCTGAAGCTGCTTAAAGGACCGGACGAAACAGAATTGTTATGTTGAAATGTTTTGAAATGCATGCGGGTTACTGATGTGTCGAATGAAAATGATTTAAAGTTCATTTCTGTTAATTATATAACATGAACAATCAATGAACAATGTATTTATTCTTCTTTATTAACTTTAGTTTGTAAAAATACAGTCATTCATTGTTAGTTTTTGGTAACTCACAAAGCAGAACTAATTAACTACACTTTAATTATTGTAAATTGTGCAAATGTCATTTTAATGTCATTGCAGTTTTTATTAATAGAATTTTATTAATAATTGATCAATTTAAAACTTGGTTTTAGCAATTTGATTGTGCGTTTTTTGTTATGATTTAGTTATTTTGATTTGATTACATTAAACTCCAAGTTAAACTTGTTTTAGTTTTATGGTTTTACTTGTAATTTTAGTGTATTATAACTCTGGTATATTTGATATATTGTATAAAAATTGCAATATGGTGTAATTGTTTCTTGGATATATAGGGTAATTGTGTTTTTTGCACTTTATTGTTAGCATAATTAATTATGACTAATATTGTAAAACAGGATGTTTTTATCACTTTTTAAAAAGACTTTAAAAATTCCAAAGAATAAGAGACTAAAAATATGTTGTCTGTTAAGTAAGTGTGTTAACTAGCGCCAGAAGAATCTGCATACATTTTTGCTATTTCTGCACAGAATATGGTAAAAAATCTGCGGATTTATGCGGAGTGATTTTGGGTGTATCGTAACAAAAACATTTTATGTTAAATAAAAAATATATACATTTTTAACTTTTATTTCAGGTTTACTATGCAAATCTTATTAGATCCATTAGTCCATTATTTGGTAAACAAAGCAAGTCTCATAATATATATATATATATATATATATATGGTCACACTTTACAATAAGGTTCATTAGTTAATGTTAATTAATGCATTTACTAACATGAACAAACAATGAACAACACATTTACTACTGTATTTGTTCATGTTAGTTAACGTTAGTTAATGAAAATACAGTAGTTCATTGTTAGTTCATGTTAACTCATGGTGCATTAACTAATGTTAACAAGCATGGACTTGGATGTTAATAATGCATTAGTAAATGTTTAATTATGATTAGTAAATGCTGTACATGTGTTGTTCATGATTAGTTCATGTTAGTAAATGCATTAACTAATGAACCTTATTGTAAAGTGTTACCATATATATATATATATATATATATATATGTATATATATATATATATATGTATATATATATATATATATATATATATATATATATATATATATATATGTATATGTATATGTATGTATATATATATATATACACATATATACACACCATATATCTACTAAAAAGAAATTATTACTTTACAAACTTTATTGTATGTAAATCATATGAACGTTTTTATATTAGCCAATAATATTACTTAAATTTATTTTAAAACTGAAAAAATATAAATTTACACAACTAAATGAATACTTTCCTAAGGAACAAGTAATGCAATTCTTAAAAAACTTTTTAAAAATGTAACTCGAGTTACTTTTTTAGATTAATTAATACACTTAAAAAAATGGTTTGCTGAATCAATTTGTTTAATTTTGTTGAATTGCACTTAATGAGAAAGTGAGCTCCTCGCAGGAACAGACAAAAAAAACAAGATGGCAGAGCTTTGCAATTCTGTGATGGAAGTATTCTCATTATTTTGAACACATGGAAGAAAAGGGGATTATAGTCTCATAATGATCCTCTGGCTCTGGTTGTGTGTAATCAATGGAACCTGGAACAGGTGCATGTGAGCGATGCATGACTGAATAAATGGTTCTTTTGCTGTTCTTATGTAGTTTTTCTGACATTGCAATGGTTCAGCAGTCAAATAGAATGTACAACATTTGTAATTTTGCTTGTTTAGGTTTTAAAGTGCGTTTCTGTTGTTATTTTGATGGCTTTCCTCTACATTTTTTTCTGTTCTTAAAAATGTCAAGCCCTATTACAAAATATGTGTTTTTTATTTATTTATTTATTTATTTTTTGGTAATTCGGACATCCTCATTTACCACTGACTCGTGTTTATTTAATGCTACGTCTCTTTTGCTCCTGCAGAATTCTCCACTGTTCCAGTATTTGCAGGATTTAGGACACACAGATTTTGAGGCATGTACTCCCGTTTCTCAAGAGGAGGAGCCCGGCGCTGGAGGAGAGGAGGCTCCGTTTCCTCAGGATATCCTCCAGTCCCGTACAGTGAGTGTCAGCACTTACCTTTCCAATACCACAACACACACGCCTGTGTAGTGTTGAAGGGACAGTCCACACAAAACTAAAAATTCTGTGATCATATACTCACTCGTTTGACTTTTTCTCCTCAAAAGAAGATATTTTGAAGATTGCTGGAAACTGGTAACCATTGCCTTCCATAGTATTTGTTTTTCTTATTGTGTCAATGGATACCAGTTTTCAGCCTTCTTCAAAATATTGTGTTGAACAGAAAAAAGAAACTCATAGTGTATAGCCACTTGAGGGGGAGTAAACGGTGTGTAAATTGTAATTTTTGGTTAAACCATATCCCTTTAAATGAAAGGGACTGCTTCTTGTATGAACACGAGCAGATTAGATGCTAATCTTAAATCCGTTTCATAACCAGCAAGTCTTTACACACTGAAAGCATTTCATTAACATCAGACTGATTCTTTTTCCACCAAAAACAAAAAAAGGATAAATTTAGTCCTGAGTCTCTCAGCATTTTATGATGTATATATTTAGCTTCCTAACTAATCAAACCTTAAAAAAAGTTTTCTATTTTAGGCTGAATGCACTTTATGATTGATGCAGACATATGATGGTTATTTTAAATCAGTTGTGAACTCCTTAAAAGCTTATCAAATGCATGAAAGAGTCAAAAGAGCTTTAATTCCTCCATTGCAGTATTTTTGAATCAATTGAGAACTTATTTAAAACTTTGTGAAAGAGTTAAAACAACAGTAGTTTCTCCATTACGCACACACATAAACTTTGTTACAGAAGAGATTTTGCAGATGACATTTTGTAATGGCATCTGCAGTTTTTGTCTGGGTCCCTAAAGCTTTTTGGAATATAAGTCACATTTTTGATAATCTGTTATGTATTTTTGTTTTGACAAATTCCAAAAGCTTCCCACATTGGTGCAGAATGAGAGGACAAGTATTTGTATTGTACATTTATATACACTTTTCTAGTTTTTGTTTCATTTAAAATAAATTTTTTAGCATTTTTTAGAAAGAGGATTTCTGTTTTATACTATTTTCCTGGTTTAAATATAATTAATTATTTTAGATAAAAAGGAGAAGTTAATGTTTACAATGATTGAAATTAGGAAGTTTGGCTTATACACTAATAATAAATATATAAATTGTAATAATAATAATAATAAAAATAAAATATTCCTCTTTTTTGAGGTTTCAAATGTTGTTTAGGAGAACTGTGTGTATATTGCTGTATATATATATATATATTTTTCAATTTAACAACATAAAAATGGTAGACCAATTGGATCGGTTTTCTGACCGACGGCAACTTGACATAGGAGTGCGGTCCCCTCGCCCACTGAATTGATTGACAGCTGCGCGTATTAACATGTCCTGGTAGTCACGTGTATAATCACATCAACAAGACCAGACTTGCGCAAAGCAACCAGCTGCGCCCCTTCTTATCTGCTCTCACTTCTGCAGATTTATAGGCCCTCCAGAAATTTGCATTCTGTGAATGAAAGTCACCTCGTGGTTCCATCCCAAAGAGGGAAGAAATCACTTTACCGAATTCTCGCACTCAATCTGCCCAGTTGGTGGAATGAACTCCCTAACTGCATCAGAATGGCAGAGTCACTCGCTGTATTCAAAAAACGACTCATAACTCAACTATTTAGTCTCCACTTTTCCTAATATGCAATTCCCTCTCTGATTACTCCTCTAACTAATAAAAAATATATATATATATTTACTAATGTTTTGCTTCTTACACCTTCTTTACATACCTGAAACTTGCCTATAGCACTTATTCATTGTTGCTCTTATAGTTGTGTAAATTGCTGCCTTGTCCTCTTTTGTTAGTCGCTTTGGATAAAAGCGTCTGCTAAATGTAAATGTAAACCGGGACTAGAAGGTCTGTTCAGTTCGCTAGGATCATCAATCACCATTAACGTGATCAAGAGTAAGTTTCACATGTTTAAAATGTTTTAAAACAGTGCACGTGCTTAATGAAGTACAGCGATTTACTTAAGCTTTACTTCATCAGCACAGCCACGTGTCAGAACAATTATAAAGGTAGACGCTTCAATCCCACTTTGTGGACGTTAAATCAGGTTTATTTTGTACATTAACATAGCAGATATCCATACAGCAGTGGAGATTAAACTTTATCCTGTCACATTTCCGTGCAAAAAGAGTCCAAAGCTAAACGCTGTCTGTCTGTCTGTCTGTCTGTCTCTGTCTGTCTCTCTCTCTCTCTCTCTCTCTCTCTCTCTCTCTCTCTCTCTCTCTCTCTCTGTGTGTGTGTGTGTGTAATTTTTTATTATTTTTTTTTAATTCTAGTACTTTTTTATAATTTAAATATGATTGTACTTTCAAATGTTTACAATTCATACAATCTTAACTTTTTACTAAAAACTTGGAAATATACAACTATTATTGGATATCAGAAATAATATGTACACTTCAGAATATTGGTAAAACACACACACAGTCTCTCTCTCTCACACACACTCATTTGTCTAGATTCGCTATTGAGTGTTCCTCAGCATGTGCTGACTAAGTGTTATCGCTTTTGTTATTGTTAAAAAAACTGTGACTATTTAAAAGCTATGGATGTAAGTGAAGACTGGTCACCTTAGGAACAGGAAGTGATAAATGACTAAAGAATTGTGCTGAAAATCATCTTAGTGTGTTTCAGTGGAGCTTTATCTGCTGTTGTGCTTTTATTTCAGAATTTGTTTGGAAAGTTTCTACAGAGAACATCATATTGTCTGCAGTTTACACAGTTCAGACTCCCTGTTTGTGTTCCTAGTCTTTCTCTCTCTCTCTCGCGCACACACATACATACTCCGTCTCTCTTTTCTTCAGTTGTCTGACACACACTCTAAGCATCTAGAATGTGAGTCCTACAGCAACTGAATACTAAAGACATGAAGAAAGAAAATAAGACAAAACAGGCGAAACCTCCACAGTGTGCAAGCACCAGCCCACAATATACTTTAACAACACTGCTCACTGATTCTGATTTGCTACATGCTTTTTTAAAGATTTTAAGACTGACAATCTTTATTCTTTTAAAGTCTTATTTCAAATGACAATGACTATTTTAAATGTACAATGGGATGCTTAGTTTGTCGGCTAAAATGCTAAAAGCTTGTTGTGTGCTCATCATGACCCAGACAGGAATCAATAATCAGTCTATGGGCTGTTATTGAGGACATAAACATAAACATGCTAGCAACTGGTTCTTTTAATAAAGCTATAAACAGCAGCTATGGACAAAAATTAAGAGACCGCCTAAAAATGCTGATTAGGATTCTGTGTGTGTGTGTGTGTGTGTGTGTGTGTGTGTGTGTGTGTGTGTGTGTGTGTGTGTGTGTGTGTGTGTGTGTGTGTGTGTGTGTGTGTGTGTGTGTGTGTGTGTGTGTGTGTGTGTGTGTGTGTGTGTGTGTGTGTGTGTGTGTGTGTGTGTGTGTATATTTTTTTTCAGCATATTTCTAAACATAATAATTTTAATAACTTATTTCTAAAAACTGATTTTTTTATCTTTGCCATGATGACAGTAAATAATATTTTACTAGATATTTTTCAAGACTTTTATACATAGCTTGAAGTTACATTTAAAGGCCTTACTAGGTTAATTAGGTTAACTAAGCGGGTCAATTAGTAATTAGGCAAGTTATTGTGTGAAGATGGTTTGTTCTGTAGACTATTAAAAAAATAGAGCTTAAAGGGGCAAATAATTTTGACCTTAAAATAGTGTTTATTCATTCATTCATTCATCTTCTGCCGCTTTTCCGGGGCCTGGTCGCGGGGGCAGCAGTCTTAGGAGAGAACCCCAGACTTCCCCATCCCCAGACACTTCCTCCAGCTCCTCCGGGGGGATCCCCTCCGGGGGGAGAGAAGTAGTCCCTCCAGCGTGTCCTGGGTCTTCCCCGGGGCCGCCTCCTGGTGGGACATGCCTGGAACACCTCCCTAGGTAGGCGTCCAGGAGGCATCCGAAACAGATGCCCGAGCCACCTCAGCTGACTTCTCTCAATGTGGAGGAGCAGCGACTCTACTCCGAGCTCCTCCCGGGTGTCAGAGCTCCTCACCCTATCCATAAGAGTGCGCCCTGCCACCCTTCAAAGGAAACTCATTTCGGCCGCTTGTATCCGAGATCTTGTCTTTTCGGTCATGATCCAAAGCTCATGACCATAGGTGAGTGTAGGAACGTAGATTGACCGGTAAATTGAGTGCTTTGCTTTTCGGCTCAGCTCCTTCTTCACCACAACGGACCGCTACATCGACCGCATTACTGCTGCCGCTGCACCGATCCGCCTGTCAATCTCACGTTCCATCCTTCCCTCACTCGTGAACAAAACCCCGAGATACTTAAACTCCTCCACCTGGGGTAAGGACTTTCCTCCAACATGGAGATGGCAAACCACCTTTTTCCGGTGGAGCACCATGGCCTCGGACTTGGAGGTGCTGATTCTCATCCCAGCCGTGTCACACTCGGCAGCAAACCGCCCCAGTGCATGCTGAAGGTCCATGTCTGATGAAGCCAACAGAACAACATCATCTGCGAATAACAGAGATGAAATCCTGTGTTCCCCAAACCGGACCCCCTCCAGCCCAAGGCTGCGCCTTGAAATTCTGTCCATAAAAATTATTAATAGAATTGGTGACAACGGGCAGCCCTGCCGGAGTCCAACATGCACTGGAAACAAATCTGACTTATTGCTGGAAATGCGAACCAGACTCCTACTCTGTTCATACAGGGACGAGACGGCCCTCAACAGATCGCCTCTGACCCCATACTCCCTGAGCACCCTCCACAGAATGCCGCAAGGGACACGATCAAATGCCTTCTCCAAGTCCACAAAACACATGTGGACTGGTTGAGCATACTCCCATGAACCCTGGAGCACCCTGGTGAGGGTATAGAGCTGGTCCAGTGTACCACGGCCCGGACGAAAACCGCATTGTTCCTCCTGGATCCTAGGTTCAACCATTGGCCGGATCCTCCTCTCCAGTACCCTGGCATAGATTTTCCCCGGGAGGCTGAGGCTTTTTTAACCAAGATCCGGCCAATGGTAAAAATAGTGTTTAAAAAATTAAAACCTGCTTTTATTCCAGCCGAAATTAAACAAATAAGACTTTCTCCAGAAGAAAAAATATTTTATCAGACATACTGTGAAAATTTCCTTGCTCTGTTAAACATAATTTGGCAAATATTTAAAAGAAATTAAAAAAATCAAAGGGGAGCTAATAATTCTGACTTCAAGTGTGTGTGTGTGTGTGTGTATATATATATATATATATATAAAGCAGTGTTGCCTCACTGCAAGAAGATCGCTGACTCGAGCCCCGGCTGGGTCAGTTGGCATTTTTGTGTTTAGTTTGCATGCTTTCCCTGTGTTTGCGTGGGTTTCTTTTGTGCGTTCCTGTTTCCCCACAGTCCAAAGACATGCGGTACAGATTAATTGAATAAACTAAATTGGCCGTAGTGTATGTGAGTGTGTGCAAGAGTGTATGGGTGTTTCCCAGTGTTGGGTTGCTGCTGGAAGGGCATCTGCTGCGCAAAACATATGCTGAATAAGTTGGCGGTTCAATTCACTGTGGCGACCCCTGGTTAATAAAGGGACTAAGCTGAAAAGAAAATGAATGAATATGTATGTATATGTATATATAATGTAAATACAAGCTTTTTAAGGATGCGAATAATCTTTTGACAGCACACTAATATGCAAATGTTTATATTATTTATTCACAATACAGTTTTTAAGCTAACATTTTCTGTTTATTATTAGATAAATTATATGAGAGACCTGCTTTGTTTACCAAACAATAGATCTTACTTGATCTTCATTGCAAACCTTAAATAATTGATAAAAAGCTTTATTTATTTATTTATTTATTTATTCATGTTTTACGTTTTTAGTTACTATACTCTCAAATTATTCTGGATAAATCTGCAGATTTTTTTTTATATTTCTGTGCAGAATTAGTACAAAATGTCTGCAGATTTGCCAATTTTGCCAAAGTTTAAAGCATGTCAGAATGCAGTATGCTGTTTTATTCAGAAATTGAGTCTGCTGTGGTCATTCATCTGTGTGTGTTTTTGCAGAAGAGTGGTGTTTGGAGGCTGGTTGATGCTCTGCGGGGTCTCAATCCTCTGCGTCGAGACAGCGCCACCCACTGGCAGGAGCAGCAGCTGGTGAGTAGGACTCTTCACTCACCTTCAATTTTTTTTTGACTCCTAAAATGTTTTGGGTTTTTATTCTACCACTGAATGTAGGGCATTTTGTGTCAGTTTAAAAAAGTGAAGGGTTACCAGCTCTTCTTTCAACAACCTTATTGCCAGCTCAATATAAATTGTAGTTTAAAATCATGTTTTTATTTACTTCAAGTACTGAAGTAAGGTTAAAGTACAGTTATAATTGATTCCTGCTCGACCTAATCATTTTACTTTATTGTCAATCCGATAAAAGCATAATTTGAGAGACTCCGCTCTTGTCAAGCATTACAGTAGAGAAACCCAATATCTCTGTGAGGCAGTCAGTAAATGCATCGATTCACATCGAGTTTGTGTTGATTTGCATGTGTTCTCCGGCAGGATTCTGCTTTCCGCCAGTCATCTCTGCGATGTCTGCTGTCTCAGGATGTCCTGCTGCAGGAGGACGTGGAGCTGATCGAGCTGCTGGACCCCAGTGTTCTCTCACTGGGCTCTGCTGACACTGTCTGTCCCAGTGCTGCTGTGCCTGCACCGCGCTGCCTCTCCACATTCTCTATATGGTACAAAAACACACACCAGTGCTGATTAAAAACACCCTGGTGTTACCAGCAGAGACTGAAAGTAGCATACTGACACGCAGCTTATGGTGGATTGTGATTTGAGAAAATTTTTTGAGCATAAATGTTTTAACTGGCTATGAGATTGTATAGGGATTGATTATTAATAATAATCATATTAATGATTATTAATAATATTCAAAAAACTGGTCAAACAAATTGGATAAATGTTTGTAAACAAAACTAATTACAGAAAAATTCTTATGTTACAGATGCACTGTGAAGAATTTCATAATTTATTACATGATACTAATAATAATTATTTTATAATTATATATAAATACTATTATTATCGTATTATAAAGAATCATTAAAGTTGCACAAATAAATTTACAGTACATCTTGCAGCATTTACTGAACTGTAAAATATTATTATTATTATTCTTATTATTATTATATTTAATAATTATATTTAAATCATTGTTCAACATGCTCTGTAGTTTTTAATCAAAATAAAAGCTCCATGGTTATATTTAGTTATATATACTAATTTAATATATTTAGTTATATTACTAAAAACTAAATATAACCATGGAGCTTTTATTTTTATTTTATTTTTATTATATATACTATAAGTATTTGTTTTGTAATTTTTATATAACTATTTTTTATTATTATCAACAATAAAATTAATTATAATACTAATGTAATATATTTATAATCTATTTAATAATGTTTTTTAAATATATATTGTTGTTTTTGATTGTTGATAAGAATATAAATATTTATATAACAATTACAAAACAAATACTTATTTTTTTTTACTTTGCTTTCACGTTTAACAACAAAGCTTTTATTTTGCCATGAGGATATTATTATTATTATTATTATTATTATTATTATTATTATTATTATTATTATTATTATTTAACCGTTATTAAAATCAAGCAAATTAAATTATTGAAGATAAAATTTATATAACAATTACAAAACAAATATTTGTTTTATTTATTTATTTATTTTTACTTTGCTATCATATTTTTTACAACAAAGCATTTATTTTAGCACAAAGATTGTATTATTGTAATTATTATTGTTGTTGTTGTTATTATTTAATTGTTATTAAAATAAAAAAAATACTATTAAATTATTAAAGATATAATTCACATAAAAAATTACAAAACAAATACTTTATTTATTTATTTTTTGCTTTCACATGTTTAACAACAAAGCTTTTATTTTAGCACAAGGATGGTAATAATAATAATAATAATAATAATAATAATAATAATAATAATGCAATAATAAAAATAATAAAAATAATACAAAACAATTACTTATTTATTTATTTTATTTTTTTTTGCTTTCACATGTTTAACAGCAAAGCTTTTATTTTGACACAAGGATGGTGTTGTTGTTGTTGTTGTTGTTGTTGTTGTTGTTGTTGTTGTTGTTGTTTAACCATTATTAAAAGCAAGCAAATTTACTATTAAATTATTAGGAATATAATTTAAATGACAGTTACAAAACAAATATGTATTTGTTTATTTATTTATTTATTTATTCATTTATTTATTTCATTTATGTATTTTTACTTTCAGATGTTTAACAACAGAGCTTTTATTTTGGCACTTATTTGGCAATTATTATTATTATTATTATTAGTAGTAGTAGTAGTAGTAGTAGTAGTAGTAGTAGTAGTAGTAGTAGTAGTAGTAATAATAATAATAGTAATATAATATTGTTATTATTATTTAACCAAGTTATTAAAACAAAGCAAATTTACTAGTAAATTATTAGAGATATTGCTATAATACTGTTGACCTGTAATTAAGCAAGATTGCAAAACTAAAAATTGCACTAATGAGCTATAAATTGTTTATTATTACATTACAATTAAGTGTTTGTTTTGATAATCATTTTATAACCATATTGCATTCTCATGTTTTGTTAAGAATAGTAATACTATATATATTTTTTTCAATTACAAGAAGAAATGTACACAGATTTCCAACACAGATTTTATTCAAACAAGTGTTAATTTCAGTTACACAAAGTTACTTAAATCACTCAAATGAAATCATCTGCTAAATCAGTAAATTAGAATATAAAGTTGAATGATGTGCTTGTTTGTTTCAGGGACGTGTCTGTTCTGGTTGGGCTGCTGTCTGTCCTGCTTGGCTTGTGTTTTTCGTCCTCTGACCTCGAGCCGTCTCTGTGGCTGTGTGTGTATCTGCTGTGTGTTTTAAGTGTGTGTCGTGGTCTGTGTCTGTGGCGTAAAACTGATCTTCAGCGTCGTGTTCAGTCTCTGGCCGTCCAGCTGGAGGATCTAGTAAACAACAGCAGATCCCTGACCAGCCTATCTCGCAAATCACTGCGCCTCATCCAGGAGACAGAGGTCATTTCACGAGGATTCACACTGTAAGTGTCAACACACACACACACACACACACACACACACACACAGCTTTAGACACATTTTTTTTTATACCTGTTAATGGGGTGTTATGTATGGAAAGCACAAAATAAACATAATTGGGTTCCCACTCTTCTTGAAAGTACTTAAAGGACTTGATTTTCAAAGGTATGTTTTTAAGGGCTGGAATGTACTTAAAAACAAACATAGGCTCTTAAAAAGTGGTTAAATTAAATTTATTTCAACAATTGTACTTAATTGTCTAAAATAGAATGAAAAAACTGCGAAATTGTAAAATTGAAAATCTTACATTTAAATCTTGTATAATAACACTCACAAAAGGCGGCACAGTAAGTAGTGCGTTCGCCTCACTGCAAGAAGGTCACTGGTTCGAGCCTCGGCTGGATCAGTTGGCATTTCTGTGTGGAGTTTATATGTTTTCCCCGTGTACGTGGGTGGTTTTCCTCCGGGTGCTCCGGTTTCCCCCACAAATTCAAAGACATGTGCTATAGGTTAACTGGGTAAGCTAAATTATCCATAGTGTATGTGTGTGAATGAGTATGAGTGTATGGGTGTTTCCCAGTGATGGGTTGCAGCTGGAAGGGTATCCGCTGCGTAAAACATATGCTGGATAAATTGGCAGTTCATTCCGCTGTGACGACCTCTGATTAATAAAGGGACTAAGCTGAAAAGAAAATGAATGAATGAATGAATGAACACTGACAAATAATGCAATTTTGATCAATATTTCAGAAATTGCATTTTAATACCACCAGCATTGAATAACATCAAATTCTTTGAACATGACTTTTGAAAATGATTACATTTTTTTTTTTAAATTGTTGACATTGAAATATAACTTTTTAGTATAATTTAATTGTTAAGTCCAGTACAGATTTTCACTGCGCCTCATAAGCTGGTGTATGATTTACAAAGGTGCTTAATTTAAGGGAGTGGTCCACTACGATATCATATTTTAAACTTTAGTTTATGTGTAATGTAGCTGTGTGAACATAAACAACATTTCTGAATATAAGACGCTCAAAGTTCAATGCTAAGAGAGACATTGGCTTTAACAGAGTCAGCTTAGCAAAGCCTACATCCAATTAAGTTTGAGGACTACAAAAAAAAATACATCCGGGTTAATAAAGAAGAGGTATGTCAGAAGCGATGTAATGTCATAGCAGAGAAAGCTTAAATGCCGTCCAAACGCTGCTATTTCTACAGGGCTTCTTCTGTTTCTGAAAGGACATGACACAAATAGAGAAGTGCTTACAATTAAATTTTAATTATGTTCCAGAGAATTATAAAAAAGATATAGCTAGCATTTGGCAAAAGAGAGCTTCCAGAATCTCTCCCAGTTCAGTGCTGGATTCTGTTAAAACTCCTCCAACAAACGAAGCTGTGGAATGTGAGCCATAACCTGTAAGTTTTTTTTATTTGGTAAAATCTATCAATTACTTGCACAGTTTTTTGCATTAATGGTATGCTCTTGCAAGGACCTAAACAAGGATGTAAACACAGGGAAATGCTGTTTGGCACCGCTGACAATTTAGCTTCAAATTCATATTTATCTGTTAAACTGCTGTAAACCCCCACAATCTTCAGCTGCACTACAAAATCTCTCGATCCAGCCGCTTTTCTTGCATTCTACATCTCATATTGAACTTGCAAAAGATATGTAAATGTAACATTAGCTGGCAGGCAGTCTTTATGTTCCTCTGTGTCGAGTTTCTTCGTGGGTATTTAGTTTTTTTTTTACGCTCATTCAGAAGCGAGAACCAGCGGATGTTCAACAACTTTACTCATACGGTAAATACAAAAAGAAAGTTTCTTTCAGGAGCTCTTACATGGAACTCAACACTTGTAAACAGTCTAAAATCAATGGTGCTTTAAAAAGTCATTTTAAGTCATTTTAAGCACGGGAACCCTGTTTATTTGGCACAAATTTACAATGGATTGATTGATTGATTGGAGAAGCAAATTTCATTTTCATGATTTATTTTGTAATTAAATTTGTTTTTGCACATATTTACACAACACATTATTTATTTATTTATTTATTTATTTATTTATTTAGACATTTTGTATTATATTTAAACTGCTGGGCAGCTATGTAGGCATAGAATAATTAGCTTCACTGAACTCAGCCTCCCCAAAAATAAGTCATAAAAATAAAATAAGTACTGTTTAATTTAGTAAATATATTGAAGTTATTTATAATCACTATATTTGGTCATTTTCTTTTAACAAAACTTAATTTTTAAAAAATGATTTAACTAGTTTTTAAACCATATTTTTGTTTATGTAGTTTGTGTGCACATTTCTTATTTGTGGTATGCATGTTCAGTGTAATGTATATTTCACTGGATGCTGTCTGTGTTATATGTACAGTATAATAGTAAAACAACATGCGCTATAGTTTAAAAGTTTGGGCTCAGTAATCTTGTAAAAGACAATCTTAGTAAATTAATCGTCAAAAGTGAAGCTCAAGACTTTTACATGGATGTTATTATTATTACAATAAAATAAACTTTTTATTTACATACACAAAAAATATGAAAACAAAATGCAAGCAATGCAACTATTCTGTATCAGATTAACTTAATGTAATGATTTCCATAGGTTCTTTAGTATCATGGAGTCTGAAGGAAAGATTCTAATCAAACCAGCTTTGAATCAAGGAAATACATTTTCATTAATTTTCTTTTGCTTAGTCCCTGATTTATCAAGGGTTGAAATACACGTGTAATAAAATAACACCACATTTTAATAACTTGTACCAAACAATTGGTTTTTTAGTGGATAGAAGTTAATTTTATTATCACAAAAACGTTTTACTGAGCCCCAATCATTGCTAAGTAGTGTATATACAATAGTTTGTCATGTGTGTGTTACGTAGTTTCAGTGTAGTGGTCATATATATGTGTTGTATGTTGTGTGTTTGTCTGCCCTAATGGTTCTCGGACGTCTGCACAGTTGGATCACGTTTCACTTGTCAAGTTTACTCGACAGGGTGAGTGGCGCCTGTCCCTTTAACAGGGCGGGGCAGCTTCGCAGTCAGCAACTGATTGGTCTACGGAAGGCAGCCTATCAGAGTCTTCGCTGCGCGTTCAGAGCCTCACGTCTGGCCACATGCGTCATGCTCAAATCATATCCTCTTCTGACAGTCATCGTTTTGTTTTACATTTTGATATAAAGATTAGTTTATGCCTCATAATCTCATAAGTTGCAACATAAATCTCCAGAATGTGTCTTTAAAATGTCATGTCAAAATATCAAACAGATCAGTTATTATTGCTTTTGTGAGTGGGTGAGAGCACACTTTTTTTTTATGTGTGTGTGTCATTTTAAATACATATAAGCATGCTTATTTCCAAAAGAGGGCGGTGCCTTTTTAGAAATGACTTGTGGCAGATTAAAATGTTCAAACCTCAAATTGAGAATGTTGGACAGTTAGAGATTACAATTTCTAGACTGAAACGGGTTGATTTGGAATGGCTGGTAGATAAATGTATGTAATATTTGTTGAGTAAACTGATAAACAAGCATGTTACTGCTTTGTTCAGGTGTGCTTCATTTGCTATCCAAGTTTAGGAACTACAAATAATAACTTGACTTCTATTTGATCATTATTATTATTTGTTTGTGTTTGTGTGTGTGTTTGTGTGTGTGTGTGTGTGTGTGTGTGTGTGTGTGTGTGTGTGTGTGTGTGTGTGTGTGTTTGTGTTTGTGTGTGTTTGTGTGTGTTTGTGTGTGTTTGTGTGTGTTTGTGTGCGTGTGTGCGTGTGTGCGTGTGTGCGTGTGTGCGTGTGTGCGTGTGTGTGTGTGTGTGTGTGTTTGTGTGTGTGTGTTTGTGTGTGTGTGTGTGTGTGTGTCATTATCATGATATGTCAAGTCATTCCAATTGTTAGTGTTTGAGTCCTTAACTGTGTTTTACATTCCCGCTAAACTCTGAGATTGATAACGTCACCAACTATGTGTCCACGGTGCCCATCAGAGAGCTGGGGCTTGGACTGGGGGTCGAGCATCTATCTGATGAACAGGCACAAGAACTGACCAATGATTACAGCCTGCCTGCACTTAAGGTAAACACACTCACATTGGATATTAGGGTTTGTTGTGTATTGAATGTTTTTCATAGCTTGTAAATATATGAGGGTATTTATGAATTGGTTCAGAATTTGAGTTTTATTTATGTATACATAAATGTATATACATAAATATACTTTTTTATTTGAAGTATGTTTTTAAAATTTGTATTTCTTTATTACTGATATTAGGGTTAATTTGAGGTCATCTAGAATTTTTTCATAGCTTGAAATAGGGTTGGTATCGTACGATGTTTAATGTGAAATGTCGTGCAATGGACGATTGTCATAGGTGGTAAATTAATTATTTATGAATAATTAATTCAAAACAAATGTATTATTTGTAGCCTACTGATTTAACTACCTGATTCACGTGGTCTTTTCTTTACCCATAACTAAATCATAGATAAATAAAGATAAGTTACACACAAATTACCACCTGTCAGTCACTTTTTCCGCAGGACTCTGGCATGAATAGGCAGAGTGATGTTTCGTTATAATGGTGTCGACAAACTTGGTTGGTAAAAAAGGGGCACAACCCACAGGAACCAACCAACAGTATCTGAGGTTTTCACTAAAATTACCGAGTACAAGCGCGAAAGCGAAAGATTGAAGCAGTGGACACTTTTCCACACAGTTTTTGCTAAAATTAATGGCCAAATTAATGGCAGATTGAAGTACACTACACAATACTCATAATCATTCCAGTATTGTATACTTCAGTATATTGCTCTGCAATGATGATATGAATGTGTTGATTTGTGTTTTGCAGATGTTGTTTCAGCTTTGGGTCGGTCAGAGCTCTGAGTTTTTTCGCCGGTTGGCTCTACTGTTGTCTCCAGGTCGAGAGGAGCAGGACTCCAGACCATGTCCCGTCTCCTACAGCAGCATTCCGCTCATCACTGATGCTTTGCATCGCTCTCTGTCCTCCTGTCTGGCAGATCTGCAGCGCAGCTATGATTTCCATCGCTACTTTGAGACGCAGCACCAGCCGATGGCTTCAGGACGACACAGACGAGCTCAGCAGAAATGCAGGGAGCTCAATTCACTGCACACGTCTGTCCGCAGCCTACAGCTCCACCTCAAAACATTGCTCAATGAGTATGTGCTCGTTTCATTAATATTTTAAAATAATATTAAAATAAAATAATATAATATTTTATTAAATAGTCATTTTAGTTGTGAGATAGAATTGCTCAACTTAATGGCCTTTTAATATTAAAAAGTTTTCAAAATACTACAAAATCTGACACAGTAGAATTTAATTTACATTTTTATTTATTAAATAGTCATTTTATATGTGAGACAATTGTTAAAAGTGAGTGGGTTTTTTTCATATTGAAATGTTTACAAAACTACTACAAAGTCTGACACAATGGAATTTTAGAGAATTAAATTTTTTATTTATTAAATATTCATTTTAGTTGTTAGAATTGCTGAAATGGATGGGTTTTTTATGTTGAAAGGTTTACAACAAGATCTGACACAGTGGAATTAAATTTATTTTAAAAAGTTTAAATAGTTGTTTTAGATGTGAGACACAATTGCTGAATTATTGTTTTTTTTTTCAAATTGAGAATAACAATTTTACAATACTATTTTATTATTTTTAATGGAAACAATTGCTGAAATTTTCATTTTTACAATCGTAATTACTCAAATTTTTATACAAAATAAATTTTGTTTGTTAATTTTATCGTTATTTTTATATATGTATATATATATATATATATATATATATATATATATATATATATATATATATATAATGTAACGCCTGGCATTCACTCCGAAAAGTAAAATTTTAGCCTCATCAGACCAAAGAATTTTAAGAGTCCTTTAGATGTATTTTGGCAAATTACCTAAACTCATTTTAGAGCTTTACGGCAAAGGCTGTGAATTCTGACGTAGATGTGATTTTATTTATTTATTATTATTTTTTTCCAGGTTTTTTTTTATTTTTTTTATTTTTTGCAACAATTTAAAAAATATTTTTTTAAAAGCATTTTTTTAAATTATTATTTTTTTAATAAATGTCATTCCAAACCTCAGAATTTTTATATTTTTAACACTTAAAAACATCCCCAAAAATGCGAGAGAATCTGACATTAAAAACTATTGGGTAAATACTGACATTAATAACTTTTACTGCAGAGTCTTACTGCAGAGGTCACCTATCTCGGTCCTGGAGGGCCGTTGTCCCTGCAGGGTTTAGTTCCAACTTGCCTCAATCCACCTGCCTAGATGTTTCAAATATACCTGGTAAGACCTTAAATAGCTTGTTCAGGTGGGTTTGATTAGGGTTGGAGCTAAAATCTGCAGGACACCGGCCCTCCAGGAACAAGTTTGGTGGCCACTGCCTCACTGTATAGTAAACATATTTGTTAAATATTTTGAATTGTGACAATTGCTAAAGTTAATGATAAAAAAATGTAATAAAACATCTTATTTTTGCTTTTCATATTGATTTAAAAACACCTTTTGAGAAAATACTTAATAATTAGATTTCAGATGTCCATTAAAGCCTACCCACTATTTGCAGATATGCTGCTCTTGTTACTTGTTATTACAGTTTTTCCTCATCACAGCAGGTGGATTTCTCTTAAAGACGTGCCTTTAAAATGTGTTCATAGCATGAGCATGTTGAAGAAGAAGCTGATGAACTTGACAGTATAGTTGTTTGAATGTCTCCGACAGGGTGATTATTCTGGAGGATGATCTGGAGAAGCTGATGGTGGCTCGGGAGTCAGACGAGGTGACTTGTGCAGGTTATCAGGAGCTGAAGGAGCGTCTCCAGTTGCTCCAACCACACATGCAGGCCAGCAGCTGCTGTTGGGATGACACCATCGCGCAGGTGGAACGAATGCTGCGCCGAGTCTCCAGCTGCCCAGGTCAGAGTTCGCACTCCCATACACTCGCACTTCACCTGCTTAGGGGGTTTTCAGTGAGTCACTGGTTTGAGAATGTCGTTATGATGTTAAGTGCATTCATATTTTGCCATGAAAACGTATTTTATTTGATTTTATAAATTTTTTTAAATGAAAATACATTGACACTTTCAATTATGTTACATTAAAGTTTATTTAATTAGAGTAAATCATAAGTGGCCCTTTTAATAAAAAATAAATAAATAAATAAAAGTAACGTTTCAATTTCAGTATAATTTTGCCATCCATATATTATATTATATTATATTATATTATATTATATTATATTATATTATATTATATTATATTATATTATATTATATTATATTATATTATATTATATTATATTATATTATATTATATATGAATGTTCATTTAATTCAAGTAAATTATGGAGTCAATTTAGTTATAAAATAAAAATTTTATATAAATTAACTACATTTTGATACCTAAATTAAGAATTTTCTTTTTTTTATTTTATTGATTATTAGATTTATTATGATTTATTTTGTAATTATATGGGGCCCATTTAAATATAAAGTATTATATTATATTATATTGTTAATTAAAATTTTAATTTAATTCAAGTAAATAATGGAGATATTTTAATTATAAAATAACATTTAATATAAATGAAACAAGAAATTTCAATTACGTTTTGCCATCCAAATATTATATTATATTATATTATATTATATTATATTATATTATATTATATTATATTATATTATATTATATTATATAAAAGTAAATTATACAGGCCAGTTTTTATTATGTTGTAAAAGATTATAAGTAAATGAAAATTAATTAGGGTAGAATTAATTAATTGGGTATGATGATGAATAAATATTAATTGTAAAGTGCTCAATTAAAACAATTATTAATTACGCTTTTTTTTTCATTGTGTAATTTAAATGATGCAAATTAATGACAATGCCTATTTGCAAATAGAAACAAAAATACAGAAAAAACAAAGAAAAGTTGAAACACTGTGGTTTGTATATTTTTGCCAGTGTTACACATCCTGGTGACCCTAAATGGTCAGTATTGCACTGCAAAATTGACCAATAAGAACCAAGAAGAACCAGTCACGATCAGTTTTTTCCAGACATCCCAGCAGTGTATAAATATGACCATAAATGAGTAAACAAGCTTTATAAATGACGTCCTCACCATATAATAGGTGCGTCAGCCTTTGTGTAAGACAGCGTGTGTCTTGGGTTATTTTTAGACTTCCTTATTCGACTGATTTCCTTGCATTCGTTTATTTAGGGAAGTAGGGGGAAAAAGAGGACAGAGAGAGACGGATGGGGATGATGATGTCCTTTATACAATTAGGCCACAGAGAACAAGTCCATTCGTACAAATTTGTATGAGTTCAGTCAGTTGTACGAAAATTTTAAAAGGGACGCATGGCACCCAACCATTGGAGGACGAGCAAATCTTATTAAATTGTCGAAATGAGATGAGATATGAGATAGCCATAAATCAAAGATGTATGAATTGCAGTGAGATCGTGTTTGTTCACACGAGTCGTGAAATTTCTGAAATGGCTTGGAGTTTTATGGAAATGGCAAGATGTGCGTACATTTTTAAAATGCACATAAAAATGTATCCGCACAACTTAGTAGGATAAATTGTTTATCCGATAAGTAAAAATGTGAATAAATTAAAATGAAAACACATGTACAAAATGAGTTCCAGCATGCTAGTCCAAAAACAAATGTGACATAGAATGAAATGGAGATTCAGAGTTTTAAGATTTTACATGACATGTTTTTTAATTTACAAATGTTATAAGTATTGCAAAAATAAACATTAGCTGAGCAGCTTGCATTGTAAGGTTCGATCATCAGGAATCATTGCTCTTGTTGGTGTGATCAATCTGCCAACCTGCGTTTTGCAGTTATCGTCAGGGAGGGAAATTCAAAGTTTTGAATTTAGACTGCAATACCCACTTTAACCTCTAGGTGTGAATTTTACAACATGTACATTTAAATTACTTTTGTTTTTTAGAGGGGCTTCTATTTATTAATTAATTTTTTATTAGTTTTTATTTTAGATATTTTTGTCGAATTTTATATTTTCCTTCATTATATTACTCTTTTAGTAATTTTTTTGTAACAGGTGATGAAATTAAACAAAAAATAGTGAAAGCTAATGTGAGAATAGGTGTCTCTCTTTGGAATGGATGGCAAACAGAAGTCTGTTGTATTGACTATACTGCAGATTTGTGATAATATTTTAAGCTTATTATTATTTGGGCTTTAAATAAGGCATTCTTGTGTCCATACAAAATTATTCTGTGTAAGATATTGTAACTTCATGCTAATGGCATCCGGTATTTCAGAATGTTGAGATGCCTAAATCCACTTTATTTTAATATTTAATGTCTTATTAAAAACAGTGTAGATGTTTTTCTTCTTATCGGTTATTAATCATTACATCATAAATGTAAACAAACCACATCTTGCAATTTAATTCCACTGTATTTAGTGCATTGTAAATGTAAAAAATGCATTAGGTCTGCGTTATTTCTCTCTGTTGAAAAGAATGTGTGTATATATGCGTGTATGTTTTCCACAGAAGGCTCAGATCAACCAGAGGAAACAACCGTCCCAGATCCCCCTCCTTCTGCCCCTATTACACACATACAGGACAGAGACCCCGTCCCGGAAGAACAGGTACTGACAGACTGTGTGTGTGCATTTAAGCATTGTTGCAAGTGTTGCTGTTATTATTATTATTAGTAGTATTATTATTTCTCATGCTTGGCGGAGTTGAGGTGAATCCATGATATGATTCACATTTAATATGCACATTTTTAAATTTATCTAAAAATACATTAGACATGATTTTAAATATTTGAGCCACACTTGTTCATTTGTTTCACTATACTAAATATTAATAATTGAACATTTTAAATTGCTGTGAGAAGCATGCATAAACATTCAAATGAAGCTATATCATAGAGAGGAACCTTGAAAACCAACACCTTGATCATGCCAAGGTCGACGCATATTATGAAGTAGTAATTATTTTAAGCTTTATATGATAAGGCAGCATTAGTTCTGGAAATGTTTTTTGAAAGATATAAATTAAACTAATTTAATATTTATGTATTGATTCATAATGAAAATCATTAAGACATTTTCTGAATAAAGAAAACCTAGATAATGAATACATAGATAAATTCAAAATGAACAAAAATGTTAACTTTTACATACTTTTCCACCACTGAATGTTATAGCGTTGTTTAAATCAATACTTTAAATGAGGGGTGCTCAACCCTTGTTCCAGGGGATCTACCTTCCCGAACAGTTTAGCTTCAACCCTGATCAAACACACCAGAACCAATTAATTAGGACCTGAAGAGCACTCAATAATTACGGGCAGCTGCGTTTGATATGGGTTGCAACTGAAATCTGCAGGAAGGTAGATCTTCAGGAACAGGGTTGAGTACCCCTGATTTAAATTAGGGGACAGTTCACCCAAAATTAAAAAGTCTGTTATCATTTTTTACCATTTACTTGTTTCAAACTTTTAAAGGAACACTCCGTTTTTCAAAAAAAGGCTCCTAGAGATAAACAGTTGATTTGAAACATTTTTGAATTCATTTGGCTGATTTCTTGTTCTGGCGGGGTCACTTTTAGCTTAGCTATGCATAATGAATTGAATTGGGTTTGACCATTAGGATAAATTTCCTATTTAAACCTCTTCTAAAGTCTTCTGTAGTAATATCATTTAATAAAATGAAGGGAGTTTTTTTTCCTAGCTAATATTGCTAGGAACTATACTCTCCTTCTGGCGTAATGGTCAAGAAACTCTGCTGCTGTCCTATAGCTGCACCAGACAGAGTGATATTATGCAACATGTAAGAATGAACTACTTTCAGAGGGTGCCTTGAAATCATGGAGACATAAAATCCTAGGAGATTTGTAAAAATGAGTGTTCTTCTTTTGTGAACACTAAAGAAGATATTTTGAAAAATGTTGGAAACCTGTAACCATTGTCTTCTTATGGTATCTGCTGTTACCACTTTGGAAATCAATAGTCACAGGTTTCATCTTTTTTCTTCAAGATATCTTGTGAAGTGTTCAACAGAAGACAGAAACTTATAAAGGTTTGAATCCATTTGTGGGCGAGTAAATGACATTTTTTTTCAGGTGAACTATCCATTTATTTTTTTAAATAGAACAATAATATGAAAACAAAGAGTTCTACGTTTTTAACGGCCCATTCACATCGGGCGTCAGCATCAATGGTTCCCATTCACTTTGAATAGATGATGTCAAGCATTGTTGAACTGAATTGTAATTCTGTGCTCGCTGCAGAAGTCGAGAATTTTTCAACTTTTTAAGCGTAACCAGAAGCATCAGCCAATCAGATTGCTTTATATAAATACCCCAGCTCAGACAGTAGCCAATTGCGGACTAATTTTATTGGCTGACGTTGCTATGACAATTGCGTGAACTTTAGACACTTCCTCTGTTAAGCATCGACACTGAAGCCCCATGTGAATCGGACGTAAGAACTTTGCCAAGGCATTTTAAACTAGACTTTTCACATTTATTTATCTAATACTAATTAAAGCATTTTTTTCACATTGACCCACAAAAGTATCAAACTATGCTACAACAAACAAGCATAACTGCTATTTTGGTCCAGATCTAGTTAAGTTGTTAATGTTACAAAGTAAATTGCTTGTTATTGTTGCCGTCAGCACATTTTTCTTCATTTCACAGATGTAAATAGTGGAATTAATCAAAACAATCTGCCGAGAATTCAATGTTGTTATAAGCTGATATTTAGAGATATTCTTAAATGATGGGATTTGTGTTAATTAGCATTTCTTAGATTAAAAACTCAGCTTTTCTGTTGTCCAGGAGTTGGAGGCGTATGTGTCGGACTCAGACTCTGATACGGAGTGGAGAGGAGGATCTGACATGCTTTCTCCATGTGAACTGGAGCGTCAGCGTCGAGAACGCGAAGAGTCCAGACGTGTTTTACTGGAGCTAAAGTCCGTTCTGGGAATACGAACGTCAGATGGAGAGAGAGACAAACGCAAACTTCTGCTGTTCAGTGATCAGGGTACGACAAACACAAAAACACACACTGCCTTCTTTCATACTAACTTGTTATATAAGGTGAAACATTGTTGGCCTAATGGCTTTTGTCCAGTCTAAGGGAATAAAGACATCCAAAATTAGGTGTTTTTTTTGTGGCGCTTTATAAATGTGTGTCTCAGGTTTTAAATTACTATGCAGGGCTCGAAATTAACCTTTTTGCTTGATAGTACCAGTGCTCCTAACTTAAAAAAATTAGGCGCATCAGCCAAAATTTAGTTGCACCTAAATATTATAAGCACCGTTACTACAAGTTTTATACAAACATATTTATTGCATTTGAAATTAAGCAGTAATCAAACTAACAAACAAAAAATATGTATATGCAAGGGTAAGGAAAATGTCTCAACGAAATCCCTTTATTTCAAGAAAATAGATTTTTATAACATAACTGAGTGACCAAAGCATACACGGACCGCTTACCGGCCCTGCACGCACTGCTTGAAATGAATGAATCTGTTAACGATATAACTATGCTGTTCTCACGGGTGCTGTCTGATTTTGCACTGCCTTTGACATATACTGTGCCTTACTAAACATACGTCATGTTAATAGCAATACCGGTCTTTTTATGAGTAGCGATGTTAGTTTACTCAGTGCAAGCCCGTTTGCGATGGTGTCCGTGGTGTTAAATTTGACATATATCTGCCACTTGCATGGCGGACAGCATCTGGCCATTATATGAATGATTCTACAGAAACTCTCATGCTAGATGTGGCAAACAGTTACCTGAAAATTCCATCACACAGACTTTTCATAGCGGACTTGAAGGCAACGGAAGTCTTTTATCCACTCTTCGAAAAGTGTAGATGGTAGATTAACATTCAGCTCATGGTCACTAGTAAGATGTGTCATTATTTGTAACTTTAGATGCCATGGTTTCTAAAATAAAATCTGTTAGTGTTATCTTCATTCTCTTCTTCAGCGTTTTACAATTTTTTGCGGTAGCTGTCGGTAGCTCTCTCTGTCATCCCAAGCCAGAAGGCATTAGGTGCGTTTGACATGAAGCTCAGCTGCAGCCGGTGATCAACGAGATTAGCCGAGCGCAGGCGGGGCGGAGTTGAAAACGGAGCCGTCAATACGGACAGCTGGACACTTCGGGACTCAAAGTTGCTGCAGTCATGATGACCGATCACATGGCGTCATCATATTTTTTTGTTATTTTTATTTATAACAACAAAACATTTACAAATAAAACAGAATACAGGCTCTACAAACTGTAGTTCCTTTTTAAACAATAAGAGAGAATTATGAATAAAATATATAACAAATGCACGAGAGAAATAAGAGGAAATGAGAGGTTAAAATAAACATAAAAACGAACAGGTCTATTAAATACAAAGCAATAAGCATAAATTCTAGGAGTTAAACATCAATCTTTAGGCTAATACTTCTTGTTTGAATCTGCTAAAAAAGGGTTTACATATGTACATTTATAGATATAAAAATTTCCCATGTAAAAAGCAAAACAAGGTGTTTTGATTAGGTCTTAATAAATGACATTATTTTGGATGATGAATGAATTTTCAAAAAAGCATTTTAATCAAAAAAGATTGTGTTGAAAAGAACAAAAGGTAAAATAAGTGAGCTATGTAGAAGTTTCCCAGAAAGAGCAGGTAGCCTTTAAACTGCTAGACAGGAAATAAAATATATATTTATATTATAATAATAAAGCAATTTTATAATTATTTAATAAAATAGTTCTTTACTTTAATTTGTTAAGAGAGCTTTAGGGTGGCAGGATCAATGATGATGATTTTCTTATTTCAAGTCTGTAAGACTTATTTGAGTTCATATTTAGGTTATTCACTAAAATATACACTAAAATATATCATTTAAATCGTTCATGGAGATGAATGCAGTAAACAGTCTGTATAAAAAAGTTAAAAAATAAACCTGTGCAAACAAGCTAACCTTTATAACCAGATTATTTAACAAAAGATGATTACTGCAGTAAAATATTTGTAGTCTTTTAATAAGCAAGATGTGTACAGGATAGAGAGGGTGTGAAAAGTGAATTGTTTGTTTTGAAACTTTTGAATCGGAATTTGTCCAATTATAAACCCGAAATACACGTGTTTGTTGTCATGTGGTGAACTCGGCCAATCGTGTAATATCAGTGTCGTCATCAAAGCTCCTGCAGTCGCTCTTCAGAAGCTGCACGGTCTGAGTTTGCCGTCTGATCTCGGAGCGCTGTCGCGGTACTTTGATGCCACATGTGACAGTCACGTGGCGTCGGCGCAGTATCAATCCGGACAAGATTTCTAACCAGAATGCACCGCTTTAAGACAGATTTCGATCGATCTGCTCAGCGCTGCATGAAGTCGAACGCACCTATTGACTGAGTGATTGACAGCTGATATTTCAGTTCTAGAGCAGGGGTGGGCCAATAAGAAGAGCGCGAAGGCGGGGCAAGCATTACGAAATTGGCTTTGTTTAGTGCAGCAAGTTCAAATGACAACTGTTTTAAACCATTCCTGAGCGCTGCGTTTCACGTTTCATGTGCAGACACAGAGCTTAGAGATGCATTCTGCGTGAATGTCTCCCGAATCCGCGCATGTGGTAAACATTTTGCAGTAAAAACTGGTCGCACACAACAGTTTTATGCACTCGCACACATGCTCCCAAATATATTTTGAGGTCACATAGATAAAATTTCGGGCGCATATGCAACCAAAATGGTCGCAATTTCGAGCTCTGATATATATATATATATATATATTATAGATATATATATATTTTTTTTATATATATATATATATATATATATATACATAAGTACATACAAAAATTGCCTGATTATATATATTTTTGAATTATAGTTTTTTTTTTTTCTGTACATGTGCAGCATTTTCTTTCATATATACACAGTGGTGTTAAAACATTTTTGCCCCTAACTGATTCCTTATGTACACTATAATTTTACTTTCTTATTTAAACTTTAATATTTCAGATCATCAAACAAATGTAAATATTAGTCAATGATAACACAAGTAAACACATTATGCAGTTTTGAAATAAACGTTTTTATTGTTAAGGTAAAACGAAATGCAAAACCACATAGCCCTGTGTGAAAAGTCTAAACCTAATAACGGGCCACTTTTAGCAGCAACAATTGCTATCAAGTGTTTCGATAACTTGCAATGAGTTTGTTACAGCACTGTGAAGAAATTTTGTCCTACTCATCTTTGCGGAATTGTTGTAATTCAGCCACATTGGAGGGTTTTTGAGCATGAAGCAACTTTTTAAGGTCATGCCAAAACATCTTAATTTGTATTCAGGTCAGGACTTTGACTAGGCCACTACAAAGTCTTCATTTTGTTTTCCAAAGCCAATCAGAAGTGGATTGCTGGTGTGCTGTGGATCATTGTGCAGAACCCAAGTTACTTCAATTTGATGATCTGAAACACACATATATACAAACAGTTGAAGTCCAAAATGAATAGCATTTTAAAATATTTCCTGAGTCTGAGAGACAAGAAATTAGCTTTAATAACTCATTTATAATAAGTAATTTTTTTTTAACTTTTTTTCCTTGCCATAATGACAGTAGTACAAATATATTTAGCAAAATACAAGAATATAAATACAAGAGCTTTTTTTGTAACATTATACTTTTACTCCACTCTTTTTAAAATTTATTTATACTTTTTTTCTTTAGCTACTCTGGCTCCGTTTGCCAAGGACCCTCTAGAAACCGACACAAACTCTTTAGATCCAGAAATGTTGTTTTTGCATATGTACACAATGGTGTGAAAGTTTTTGCCTTTTACTGATTTCTTTTTTTTTTTTGCATGTTTGTCACACTTTAATGTTTCAGATCATCAAACAAATGTAAATATTACTCAAAGATAATACAAGTAAACACATCATGTAGTTTTCAAACAAAGGTTTTTATTGTTAATGGAAAACAAAATAAAAAACTATATAGCCCGTGTGAAAAAGTCTACACCTAATAACAGGTTGAGCCACCTTTAGCAGCAACAATTACAATCAAGCGTGTTCGATAACTTGCAATGAGTTTGTTACAGCTCTGTGGAGGAATTTTGACCCGCTCATCCTTGCACAATTGTTGTAATTCAGCCTCTTTGGAGGGTTTTGAGCATAAAACAACTTTTTAAGGTCATGTCAAAGCATCTCAATTGGATTCAGGTCAGGACTTTGACTAGGCCACTCCAAAGTCTTCATTTTGTTTTCTTAAAGGCAATAAGAAGTGGATTGCTGGTGTGCTTTGGATCATTGTCCTGCTGCAGAACCCAAGTTACTTCAGATGATCTGAAACACACATATATACAAACAGTTGAAGTCCAAATAACATTTTTGAATAGTGAGTGTAGGAGACAAGATATTAGTTTTAAAAACTAATTTCTGATAAGCAATTTATTTTGTTGTAGCTATAATGACAGTAGTACATACTTATTTAGCAAAATACTAGTTTTGAGCTATTTAAACCATTTGTACCTTAAAAAATGGAAAGATTTTTTTTCAACTTTAAAGTTTACTCTTTATTTATTTATTTATTTATTTATTTTTCTTCTTTAGCTGCTCTGGCTCCGTTTGCCAAGGACTCTTCAGAGACTGGCACAAACTCTTTAGATACAGAAATTTCATTGGACTCGACGACCGCCACAATCAACCATGTCTCCCCACTTGACGAACAAAATAAAAATACTCCACAAACTGAAACCCTAAACGCACTAGAGCACGAAAACCAAGCAGTGACTGAATTCACCTGCGGAGATTCAGACTCGACAGCAGCAGCTAAAGACGCCATTGAAGAAACTCCACAGGAAACGCAGCTCTTCCAGTCGGACGGGCTCATAGACGCCGGGCATGATGGGATACATCCGCTTTCAGCCCGAGTGCCTACAGTATCAGTGATGGACAGGTTGACTGAAATGCACGGCACAGAAGCGATCAGTTTTAGCTCTGCTTTGGCTGCTCAGGTAGCGGCACGTTCACATACGTTCACAAACATGCAGGAATGCACATATGAGGACTCAGACGAGGAAGAGGAAGCAACATCACAGCAGACCAGAGAAAGTGAGGACGACTGAAAAGGCAGGTTATTTATTTTCATCTATTCAGTTTGGTATTTATTGAGTTTGATTTCAGGTCACAGACATCATTGGATGTAGCTGGTGTGTGTTTGGTTGTTTTCAAGTGTGTTTATTTGTGTGTTTGGGGAGGTTTGTGTTTACTCTGCTCCTCATGACTGCCCTCAGGTACAGACTGATACATGCTAGTATAAAAAATACAAAGCAACAACTAAACATATTCTATGTACTCAAAAGTGTCTGACTCTAACTCAAAAGTACATGTCAGGTTTTATTAACTGTAAATGAAGTTCTTAAACATACAGTTCTTAAACGGCAAGTTCCTAAAAATGCTTTAAAATTTGGTTAATCTCACGAATCAAATTTGACCCCAGAATTCAAATAGATGTAAATTACAAATAAATTAGCATAAAGAATACTCATACTCTGCCTCCAAATAAATGCCTCCAATAAATCTTTTGTTTTCTTTTTGTAGACAATTTTCAAATATACTGTGTATATTTCAAATTTCAACTAAAGTTTGTGTTTTTACATTTCCGTAATAAGAATATATTTCATTATTTTGCATTTTTGGTAATCAGAACAAAATTTCCTTTAACCTTATAGCGGTTGTGTGTGTGTGTGTGTGTGTGTGTGTGTGTGTGTGTGTGTGTGTGTGTGTGTGTGTGTGTGTGTGTGTGTGTGTGTGTGTGTGTGTGTGTGTGTGTGTGTGTGTGTGTGTGTGTGTGTGTGTGTGTGTGTGTGTGTGTGTGTGTGTGTGTTTTGCATTGCAGAAATGACAGTTTCTTTACATCATTATATCACTGATGAATTGATATCTTCTAAATTGCAGTATTTTTCCTCCTTACATATTTCACCTATTTAATTTTTGTATTTTTTTCTAATGAGAATTTTGCCCTTCATTACACCACTAACATTTTTATAGATTTTTTTTTCCCATTGTGGTAATGAGACCCCCTCCCCGACCCCCACCCACCCCTTCCACACATTAAAGTAATAATTATTTTGTTAAGTAAATTCAAGTAAACAATGCGCACAATCCAATTAAATCTTCATCTTTTCAAAAAAAAAAAATAGGCAGATTTCCATTATGCAAATTTGTATTAATATTGTTTTGTAACATTCATCCTGTTAACTACGACAAGATAAAGCTAATTCTGTCGTCCTAGTGGCTGGCATGATGTCCTCAAAAAAGACTGCATCTCTCCAGCAGCGAAGCCTCCTTTCTGAACGTTTGTTTTTGTGAGGTCGTTCTTTAGAGAAATAAATAGATGCCCTCGTTTCATTTCTGCTTCATCAAACTTTGACACACACAACTGTTCACACGCAGCTGGAGTTTCATCACGGTGACCTTCACAAGGTTATTATTGTTTTAAAGTAAGTGACAAACATTTAAAATATATTTATCCATTAAAAACTCTACAGTAAAAATAGAAATAAACCTAATTTTTGTCTGGTACTTATTAAAATAACTTTTTTTTAATTAAGTAATGCTCAAGGCTGACATATCCTTTCACATAAAACCATTTTTAAACTCAAATTCACTTTTAACACTGTGGGAAAAAATACCAAGCGAACTTAAACTTGCCTTAAACACTTTCCCCTTGTAAGGACTGTTGCACTTTACGGTTAAATGTTATGAGACCTGGAATGTCATTGAGAAATGTTGCTAAAAAAGAGAGGAAAATCTCAGATATAATAATGTTTGTATGTAAATTATATGATGGTTTTCTTTGGTCCAATATTCCTGAGTTTCCCCCATGCATATGTGCATGATTTCAAACACTTGTCTTGGCCTGGCAGAGACTGTCTATGTGTGTTTGTCTTCACTCAGCACCAGTTTTGCCTTTTTTTAAAGGGTTATATTTTTTTCCCTTCACTCCAAAAGTGTCAATCTTGCATTTCATTTGTGAAATAAAGTATATGTACAAATATGTGAGTTTGTCTTTAGTGGCTTCACACTAAAATATGACTTGTGTGAGCACAGAAACACGTGCAATTAAAGCAAAGTTACTGCCATCTACTGGACAATGTAGTAAAAAAAGGAAATGAATAATGATTAAAAAAAACAATGTATAGAGGGAGATATATATTATGGATGCTCCAATCAGGATTTTTGCAGCCGATATCTAGTACCTATTCCTTGTCATGGTGATTGCCCGATAACAAGTACCAATTCTGATGCTTCAAGCTTTATGTATCTTTGCCATTGCATAAAGCACATTTTCCCCTCTAAATAGGATACTTAAGTGGAGATCTCGTCCTGTCTAAGATAATAAATTAAGAATGCTTCATATAATCCTATACATTTTTACTGCATATAATCTTAAACATGTCTCTTCTAAACATTTAATGTGGACAGAAGCAGCTTTACAGAAAATAATAGATAATATGTAGGGGAGACTCATGGAGCTTCCAGGAGAGGTCATACGGTTGGAAACAAGATTGGGCTGATTGCTCTGCTCGCGTCCCAGCAGCTCAAAACACTGGATATATAGTGTTGAAACAAAGAGATCTTTCCTCACGATGCCAATAAACTGTATAAACAGAGGTTGCACCACATCTGTATATATTTTAGCTGCTGTGATGCATATGCAGCAATCGCTTATGTCCTTACGCATCATTTACCGCCTCACATGTTGTAGTGCTGCTCTCCGTATAACTCAGGTACGCATGTGCGTCTTCCTCTGCTTGTAAACTCATAAACAAACACCTGCAATCGGTTCATAAAATAAGCCAGATTGGCGACTCATTAAATGTGATTATCGGCCGATGCCAATCCTCGGGCAATCGATCGGAGCATCCCTAATATACCAGTTGCTCATAATAAAAAGCATAATGACTATTATGAAATATTTTCAAATAATTTACTTTATCATTACTACAAGAAAATAAATATAGTAATAATATATAACTATTATGTATTATTCATATTATTATAAAATATTTTCAAATACAGAGCTACTATTATACTCTACACTCTATATAGGACTACGTTTTATGTCCTATACATTATGCATATTATTTATATAGTAATATTTACTCATTCACTATGTTTATTTTAAAATCACTTATTTTATAGTATTTCATTGGTAACACAGTATTTCTTATCTGTAATATTCATTCTATTATTGTTTTACTGTAAAACATGACACAAACTAATTGCTTAAAAGTCTTGCTTACACATTATAGCAACGTCAGCATATGAATATGGAATGAATACTTTGCAAGTTAAAAAATAAACCTGCACTGTGAAGCACTTTCTCTGAATGGATTTCCCTCATTAATATTCCGCTCGTCACTTAAAAAAAACATTAGGGAACAAGGGTGATTTTTGACTATTAACTATATGCAATGACGTTAACACAATGAACCTATCGGATAGGCTAAGTAGCACGGCGCGCTCATCAGCTGGCGAATAAACGACTCTGTTAGCGAAGGCATGTTTATAAATATTAACTAAATCACTTTTCTGGATTCTCAGAGCCAGCGTTTTCTAGGTAGGCTAATATTCATGAGCTGATTCTTCGCCATAGTAGGACTGTATAATTTCGCATTCCGCGTCATGCGACCAGCTGATTCGGCAGCTTTTCTCTGCACCTCCCACAATGCATCGGTCTCTGTCCACTCGAGTCCGCAGTCATGGAAGCGAACGGGCTGCCGGTGCCGCCGGTAATGGACACACTGATCGTTAACGGGGAACGAGAAGCCGAAGACCCAGCCAAGAAGAAAAAGAGGAAGAAGAAGAAAAACAAGTCAGTTGTTTCCGGTGAGCTTGTCATTCAGTAGTGAAGTGCTGAGGCCGCTGGATGTTTAAATATATATATTTGTAAATCAGCTGTGCTTTAAATAGTCAGCTGTGAACTCAGATTAACTCGAGACAGAGCTGTATCTCTTTTAAATCGCTCTGTGTATAGATTTAGGTGGTTGAATATCTTTGTGCTAAAAGAAAAAGTTTTTTCAACAGTAGTGATTTTTTTATGCACTGGAAAATATTTAATAAAACAGTTTTTTATAATGGTACAACACTATAATATTATGAATTATTAAAATGTAGTCATTTATACATTTATTTGATATATATATATATATATATATATATATATATATATATATATATATATATATATATAATAAACATTTTTTTATTGTAGAAAAAACACTTGAAATTTTACATGAAACTTTTTAAACTTTATTTTTATATAGTGCCTTTAAAAAGTAGCATCTCAAGACACTTTACAGACATATAACGAATCTAACAATTCTAAAAAAAAGAAGTCAAATACAATCAAATAAAATCTACTCTAAAAAGTAAGTTTTAAGTAAACTAGATGAATTAAACATTTTCAGGGGTTCTACATTGTGAATATTAGACGGTAAAGATATAATTATACAATTTTTGACTTCTTTTATAAAGATTGTACAGTTTTGAGAACCTAAAGAAGTTTTTTTAATCTTTTTAAATGAATTTTTCTGTTAATATTTAAGAAAATATAAATGTATGTTAAAGTTTTACAATGTTTTGTTTATTTTCTGTTTATTAATATGTGATTATTTGTTGTATATGCTTATTTTTTAATTCTACATTCTTCTATATTTCATTTAGGTTGTTTGGAGATACTAATTTAAAAAATGTAGTTTTATTTTTACATCTTGCACTTTTAACTTTATTATGCATTTATGTTTTTTATGTAATATTTTATTTTAAAGTTGTTCATATATACAGAATAACATAGATTGCATATCTAGACACGCCAATCTGATCTGCAATCATAATATCAGTATTTTTTAGAATACTGTAAACTACATTCATAAAAAATAATGTTATATTTTAAATATATTTATTTATAAAAATGTTATATTACATATATTTTTTTTGTATTTGTATTCTATAATTAATTTATTAGAGGTCAACAAAGTTTTGAGCATTTCAAGATCAACCACAAAATATAACCCTAATAGACAATTAATTAACCATATTTCTTTGCCTAACGCATCCCAAAAAATATACTAAAGTTGGCAGCTGGCTAATGTTTGATGCTAACATGGCCAGAAATGCCATTTAGTTAGGCTGTTAGCCATAAAGAATGAGTTTAAATCAATCTTATTATTTCATATTTCCTTTGAATTGAAATGAAAGTTTACTCAAAAATGAAAATGTGGGAAACCGGTACTGTACTATACAGGTAAAAAGCTACTATAGAAGTGAATGGAAGTTTTCAACATTCTTCAAAATATCTTACTTTTTTGTTCAATAAGAGAGACTCAAGGTTTGGAACAAATGAGCAAATAAAGGCACAATTTAATATATTTTTTGGAGTGTACTATCTCTTTAAATACCACATTTTTGATAAGGATTTTAATTGGTGAAATGCAATTTTCGTGTAGATTCTACACGTTTCTGCTCTGCATTTGCTCCTTGTGCTGCTCAGTATGTACTTGCATCATCAGGTCTAAAGTGTCGCCCTACCAAGGTTATATGATGCTGCAGATTGAGCCAGGTTTGCTTTCCTATAGATCCACTATATGAGATGAAGTTATGGACACTTTCCAAACTGACAGCAGTAACTCACTTCCTGAGACACACACACACACATTGTTAGAGGCTGCAGCTTGTGATGCATCTGGCACATTTAGCACTTACTTTGCTTATGTGCTTGTTCACCTGTGTGTGTGTGTGTGACTTTGCAGCAGGACACAGCGAGCAGGTTGATGATGGCGAGCTGGAGGTGAAGAAACCACTAGAACAGCAGAACCTGGAGGAGAAAGAGAGAGAAGAGGATGGAGAAGAAGGTATTGTGCTGGCGAGGGCACACTTCAAGATTGCACACTCTTTTTTTTTTATTGCATAAATGATCTATTATAATGCTTTACTGGCCTCATTTGCTCCCACTTTGTGTGTATGATGTATTGCAGATAAGATTTTGCAGTACATAATATATGCACTATAATATATTTATGCATTACTATAAATACTATATACATTTATATAACCCCCGTTAATTTTTTCCCCCAATTTCCATTTAATGGAGGGAAGATTTTTTTCAACACAATTTTAAACACAATAGCTTTAATAGCTAATTTCTAATAACTGATTTATTTTATCTTTGCCGTGATGAAATCAGTAAATAATATTTGTAAATAAATAGTCAATAAATAATATTTGACTAGATATTTTTCAAGACACTTCTATACAGCTTAAAGTGACATTTAAAGGCTTAACTAGGTTAATTAGGTTAACTAGGCAGGTTAGGGTAATTAGGCAAGTTATTGTATCTCGATGGTTTGGTGCAGACTATTGAAAAAATATAGCTTAAAGGGGCTAATAATTTTGACCTTGAAATGGTTTTTAAAAAATCAAAACCTGCTTTTATTCTAGCCGACATAAAACAAATAAGACTTCTCACAGAAGAAAAAATATGATCAGACATACTGTAAAAAATCCATTGCTCTGTTGAACAACATTTAAAAAAGAAACAAAAATTCAAAGGGGGCCTAATAATTCTGACCTTTACTGTATATATATATTTAATTATATTTACTGTATATAATATACTATATATTTTATATATACTATATATATTTACTACTAATATTTATAATATGTATAATATGTCAAGGTCATGGCACAACAGCCTAGCTTAATTCTTTCGAAATGCCGTAATTATATTTTAATAAAGACTTTCGCACCCTTAAAAATGTACAGTGTAATTACTGTGTAAAATGAATTTATTTCATTATTTGTTTTGAATTATTTGTTTATTATAAGTACTTTTTATGTTTTCCTTTCATTCCTTTAAAATGTTTTGACTAGTTTCAAGCTTATAATAACATATAACTAGATTCTTAAAGTTTGAGAACAAACTTTGAGGCTGGCTTGTGAAAGCCTGACGGTAATAGTTTATTTAGTTTAAACAGTTTTAAAAAGTATGAAAAGATAGATAGATAGATAGATAGATAGATAGATAGATAGATAGATAGATAGATAGATTAGCATGTTATTAGCATGATTTTAACGTGAAATAGCATGTTGTTAGCATGATTTTAGCATGAATTAGCATGTTACTAGCATGATTTTTAGCATTAATTAGCATGTTGTTAGCATGATTTTAGTATGAATTAGCATGTTACTAGCATGATTCTAGCATGAATTAGCATGTTGTTAGCATGATTCTAGCATGAATTAGCATGTTGTTAGCACAATTCTAGCATGAATTAGCATGTTACTAGCATGATTCTAGCATGAATTAGCATGTTACTAGCATGATTCTAGCATGAATTAGCATGTTGTTAGCATGCTTCTAGCATGAATAAGCATTTTACTAGCATGATTCTAGCATGATTTAGCATGTTACTAGCATGATTCTAGCATGAATTAGCATGTTACTAGCATGATTCTAGCATGAATTAGCATGTTGTTAGCATGATTCTAACAAGAATTAGCATGTTACTAGCATGATTCTAGCATGAATTAGCATGTCGTTAGCATGATTCTAGCATGAATTAGCATGTTACTAGCATGACTCTAGCATGAATTAGCATGTTGTTAGCATGATTCTAACAAGAATTAGCATGCTACTAGCATGATTCTAGCATGAATTAGCATGTTGTTAGCATGATTCTAGCATGAATTAGCATGTTACTAGCATGATTCTAGCATGAATTAGTTTGTTGTTAGCATGATTCTAACATGAATTAGCATGTTACTAGCATGATTCTAGCATGAATTAGCATGTTTTTAGCATGATTCTAGCATGTATTAGCATGTGCCTAGCATGATTCTAGCATGAATTAGCATGTTGTTAGCATGATTTTAGTATGAATTAGCATGTGACTAGCATGATTCTAGCATGAATTAGCATGTTGTTAGCATGATTCTAGTATGAATTAGCATGTGGCTAGCATGATTCTAGCATGAATTAGCATGTAACTAGCATGATGGATAGATAGATAGATAGATAGATAGATAGATAGATAGATAGATAGATAGATAGATAGATAGATAGATAGATAGAGGTAGATAGATAGATAGATAGATAGATAGATAGATAGATAGATAGATAGATAGATAGATAGATAGATAGATAGATAGATAGATAGATAGAGGTAGGTAGGTAGATAGATAGATAGATAGATAGATAGATAGATAGATAGAGGTAGATAGATAGATAGATAGATAGATAGATAGATAGATAGATAGATAGATAGATAGATAGATAGATAGATAGATAGATAGATAGAGGTAGGTAGATAGATAGATAGATAGATAGATAGATAGATAGATAGATAGATAGATAGAGATAGATAGATAGATAGATAGATAGATAGATAGATAGATAGATAGATAGATAGATAGATAGATAGATAGATAGATAGATAGATAGATAGATAGATAGATAGATGGAGTGCGAGCATGAGTCAAACAAGCCAACCCCCGCCTCTCTACGATGTTCTGATGCTGAGATATAGCTGCTGTTATATCGTTGCTAGGTTAGTCTGTTTTGTTGCTATGGAGTTGATTGACAGCTTAGACTGATGATGTATCAAAGCTTCTTGCCAGTATGAACAGTTAAACACAACCCCCATGTCTCTATCACACTGCAGCATGACAATATCAGTCTGAACCTCTTTAATTGCAGTCTATGGGACAGTTGCTAGGGTGCAGTATCTGGTTGTTAGGGTGTGGCTAGAAAGTTAAAAGGCCATCGGTGATTGGCTGCTGGCTAGACTGAGTTAAATGAGCCTAGCCATTAGTCTGTAGGACAGTCTGATGCAGAGTTATGAGCTCACAAAGTTTGATCCCATGTAAAGTCAATGAGAGTCTTTTGCAATGGAAGTCTATGGGACGGTTTCTAGGGTCCAAAAGTGGTTGCTAGGGCGTGGCCAGAAAGTTTAAAGGTGATCAGTCATTGGCAGTTTGATAGTCTGAGTTAAATGAGCCCAGTTAGAAGTCTGTGTGACATTCTGATGCGGAGTTATGAGGTCACAAAGTTTGATCCAATGTTACGTCTATGGGATTTTTCCGACGGTCCCGGGACGTTTTTCGGGAAACCGAAAGTCGGATCAGTCGGAAAGGATATAGCAACTCGAGTCAGAATAGTTCGGAGGTCTGACCCAAGTTTGATGGTCATAGCTTGAATGGCCTAGGAGGAGATAGAGTTTAATTTTTAGTCTCAGAAGAAGAATAATATAGAAAAACTAGATTCTTAAAGTTTGAGGACAAACTTTTAGGCTGGCTTGTGAAAGCCTGATGGTAATAGTTTATTTAGTTTAAACAGTTTTAAAAAGTATGAAAAGATAATAGATAGATAGATAGATAGATGATAGATAGATAGATAGATAGATAGATAGATAGATAGATAGATAGATAGATAGATAGATAGATAGATAGATAGATAGATAGATAGATAGATAGATGGTGTGCTAGCATGAGTTAAACAAGCCAACCCCCACGTCTCTAAGATGTTCTGATACTAAGATATAGCTGCTGTTAAATCGTTGCTAGGTTAGTCTGTTTTGTTGCTATGGAGTTGATTGGCAGTTTAGACTGAGGATGTATCAACGCTTCTTGCCAGTATGAACAGTTAAAAGCAACACATGTCTCTATCACACTGCAGCATGACGATATCAATCTGAACCTCTATAATGGCAGTCTATGGGACTGTTGCTAGGGTGCCGTATTTGGTTGTCAGGGGTGTGGCTAGAAAGTTAAAAGCTCATCAGTTATTGGTAGTTTGGTAGTCAGGTAGTCAGGAGTTAAATGAGCCCAGTTAAAAGTCTGTGCGACAGTTTCATGTAGAGTTATGAGCTCACAAAGTTTGACCCAATGTAAAGTCAATAAGAGTCTTTTGCAGTGGAAGTCTATGGGACAGTTTCTAGGGTCCCAAAAGTGGTTGCTAGGGTGTGGCCAGAAAGTTAAAAGCTCATCAGTTATTGGCAGTTAGGTAGTCTGAGTTAAATGAGCCCAGTTATAAGTCTGTAGGACAGTCTGATGCAGAGTTATGAGGTCACAAAGTTTGATCCAATGTTAAGTCAATGGGATTTTTCTGACCGTCCCGGGACGTTTTTCAGAAAACCAAAAGTCGGATCAGTCAGAAAAGATATAGCAACCCGAGTCAGACCAGTTTGGAGGTCTGGTGTGAGTTTGGTGGTCATAGCTTGAAAGCTCTAGGAGGAGATAGAGTTTAATTTTTAGTCTCAGAAGAAAAATAGGATAACAATAGTCTGGCTTGCTACACAAGCCAGCCTAATAATAACTAGATTCTTAAAGTTTGAGAACAAACTTTGAGGCTGGCTTGTGAAAGCCTGACGGTAATAGTTTATTTAAACAGTTTTAAAAAGTATGAAAAGATAGATAGATAGATAGATAGATAGATAGATAGATAGATAGATAGATAGATAGATAGATAGATAGATAGATAGATAGATAGATAGATAGATAGATGTTGTTAGCATGATTCTAGCATGATTTAGCATGTTGTTAGCATGATTCTAGCATGATTTAGCATGTTACTAGCATGATTCTAGCATGAATTAGCATGTTACTAGCATGATTCTAGCATGAATTAGCATGTTGTTAGCATAATTCTAGCATGAATTAGCATGTTACTAGCATGATTCTAGTATGAATTAGCATGTTACTAGCACGATTCTAGCATGAATTAGCATGTTACTAGCATGATTCTAGCATGAATTAGCATGTACCTAGCATGATATTAACATGAATTAGCATGTTACTAGCATGATTTTAGCATGAATTAACACGATTCTAGCATCAATTAGCATGTTGTTAG